CGGTTTCCCAAGTAGCATCACCTAGGGCTCCACCCTTCCAAATCACCTTCACGAGTCGGATGGTCTTATTGCGTAGTTGTTTGTCCTTAAAGTCCTCAATTCGCTCCGGTTCGGATCTAAAGGTCAAATTCTCCCTCAATTCTACTTCTTCAGGTTCAATAACATGGGAGGGATCCGGGTTGTACTTCTTCAACTGTGATACGTGGAACACATTATGGATACCTGCAATCTGTGGAGGTAATGCAACTCTATATGCAGTAGATCCAATTCGCTCCAAGATCTCATACGGGCCCATAAATCTAGGTGTCAACTTCTTTGCCTTAATGGATCTACCAATGCCTGTCACTGGAGAAACCTTCAAAAATACATGATCTCCTACTTCAAACTCTAACGGCCGTCTCCTCTTATCAGCATAGCTCTTCTGTCGGCTCTGAGCGGTTAGCAATTTTTGCTTAATCATTGCAATCTTCTGGGTGGTCTGCTCTACAATTTCTGGACCAATGATACTCCTCTCACTTAATTCTGTCCAACACAAAGGCGATCTACACTTCCTTCCATACAAGGCCTCATAAGGCGCCATCCCAATACTAGAATGATAGCTATTATTATAAGCAAATTCAGCTAATGGCAAATGATTATCCCAACTACCTGGTAGTTCAATGGCACAAGCTCTCAACATGTCCTCCAAAGTCTGGATCGTCCTCTCTGTTTGTCCATCTGTTTGGGGGTGGTATGCGGTGCTAAAACTCAGTCTGGTACCCATAGCCTTCTGTAGCGCACCCCAAAAGTTTGAAGTGAACCTTGGGTCACGATCTGACACAATTCTAGAGGGTATACCATGAAGTCTAACTATCTCCTTAATGTATATCTCAGCAAATTTCTCTAATGTAGAGGTAAACTTGATCGCCAAAAAGTGAGCTGATTTGGTGAGTCGGTCTACTATCACCCAAATAGCATCCTTACTCGAGGGTGTTCTTGGCAGTCCAGTGATGAAATCCATAGAAATATCATCCCATTTCCACTTTGGAATATCTAACGGTTGCAGTGTTCCAGCTGGCTTCTGATGTTCTATCTTTATCTTCTGACACGTTAAACATCTAGAAACAAATTCAGTTACATCTTTCTTCATTCCTGGCCACCACCAACCTCGCTTCAAATCATGGTACATTTTAGTTATACGGGATGAATTGTATATTTGCTCCTATGAGCTTCTTCTAAAAGGATATTCCTCAATCTTGGATCATTAGGTACACAAACTCTACCTTTATACTTCATCACTGTGTCCTCAGAGATGGTAAAATTTGGGGCCTTACCTACCACTATCTCCTTCCTTATATTCCTTAAGTAGTCATCACTCTGCTGTGAGACTCTGAGATCTTCCCAGAATTTGCTCTCAAAGTCTGCTACCTGGAGTGCGGCCATTTGATGTTCAATCACATCTACTGGAACATCATGAAAACTGTTCCACAAATGATATTCATGAACCATCAAATGTGCAGCATGAATAGTCTTTCTACTTAAGGCGTCAGCTACCACGTTAGCCTTACCGGATGGTAATGTAATTCAAAGTCATAATCCTTCAGAAATTCCATCCATCGTCGCTGCCTCATATTAAGCTCTTTTTGATCAAATAAATACTTCAGGCTCTTATGGTCACTGAAGATTTGAAACTTAGATCCATACAAGTAGTGTCTCCATATCTTCAGAGCAAACACAACTGCAGCTAACTCCAAATCATGAGTAGGGTAATTTTCCTCGTGTGGTCTCAACTGTCTGGAGGAATAGGCAACCACTCGGTCATTTTGCATCAAAACACATCCTAAACCCTTTAAAGAAGCATCAGTGTACAGAGTGTACGGCACCACAGGGTTAGGAATAGTCAATACTGGAGTAGTGGTTAACCTCTTTTTCAATTCTTGGAAAGCAGCTTCACATTTGTCAGTCCAAATAAATGGGGCATTCTTCTTAGTCAGCTTAGTTAAGGGCATCGCAATTTGCGAAAATCCCTTAATAAAGCGACGATAATAACCTGCTAAACCTAAAAAGCTTCGTATCTCTGTAACAGATTTTGGCTGTTCCCACTTCATCACTGCATCAATCTTGCTAGGATCCACCGCAACTCCGTCTCTGGACACAACATGGCCCAAAAACTTTACTTCTTGGAGCCAAAATTCACACTTGTTTAATTTGGCATAAAGCTTATGTTCCCTCAAAACTTGCAAGACGATTCTTAAATGTTCACCATGAGCCTCCTCATCCTTTGAATAAATAAGAATGTCATCAATAAACACTACTACAAACTTATCTAAATAGGGTCGAAAGATCCTATTCATGTAATCCATGAATACCGCAGGAGCATTCGTAAGTCCAAACGGCATCACCATGAATTCATAATGCCCATATCTCGTCCGAAATGCTGTCTTAGGTATATCCTCTGCTCTTACTCTCAATTGGTGGTACCCTGACCTTAAGTCAATCTTTGAGAAAACTGCGGATCCCACAAGCTGATCCAGCAAATCATCGATTCTCGGAAGTGGATATTTGTTCTTGATGGTTACTTTGTTCAATTGTCTATAATCAATGCACAATCGGAGGCTTCCGTCCTTCTTCTTTACAAAAAGGACTGGAGATCCCCAAGGTGAAACACTCGGTCTGATGAAACCCTTCTCAAGTAGCTCTTCAATTTGCTTTTTCAGTTCCGCTAACTCTGAAGGGGACATCCGATAAGGAGCCTTAGAAATTGGCCCTGTACCGGGTACCAATTCAATTGAGAACTCTACCTCGCGCTTTGGGGGTAAACCGGAGACTTCGTCTGGAAATACATCCGCAAATTCTTTGACAATTGGGATATTCTTCACGCCTTCATCAATCTCAGCTTGGATAGAGAAGAAAACCATGTAGGCCTGGCAACCCTTCTTCATACATCTATCAACTTGCGCCGCCGACAAGAAAACATGATCTTGAGTCTCGACTGGGGTCACCGACAAAGAAGATAAAGACACACTCCTCTCTCTACAATCTAGGATAGCACCATTTGCAGCCATCCAATTCATTCCCACAATTACATCCATACCTCTCAGTGGTAGGATAATTAAGTCCATAGTTGTTTTCCTATTTTTAAACTCGACTACTAGGTTAAGGCATGCCTTAGCAGTCCTTACAGATTCTCCCGCAGGAGTAGACACATTCATATCAAAAGGTAAAATACACACAGGCAAATCAAGGTCCTTTACACAAGTTTCAGAAATAAAAGAGTGTGTAGCACCCGAATCAAATAGTGCAACAATATCATGATGAAGGATTTTGATGTTACCTCTAATGGCATCTGGGGAGTTCATGGTGTCCTGAGTAAGAGCAAACACACGGCCAGAGACAGTAGGATGTTGGGAAGGGTTCTTCATATTTGAGCCCTGGTTGTCCCCACAAAACTTTGCAATGTGACCGGGTTTCCCACAAATGTAACAGACCCAACACTGTCCGAAATGACGACGCCCGCATTTAGTGCACTGTTGAGAGCTCGCTGTACTCGGGGCAGGGTGTAGATACTGTTGGGCTCCTCTGTGACCCGTAATAACTACTATGATAGCTCCTCTGTCCTTGGCCCCTTTGAAATGGACCCTTCTGCCTTCCTTGGTTCCATGAGCTACTCGAACCCTGATGGTTTTTCTTCATAATGCCTCCGGTGGGTCGAGGGTAGGTTGGGGGTCTACTATATGAATAACCCCTCTTCTCTCTCTCGACCTCCTTCTTACTGCGAGCTACTACTTGTAGTTTTATGCACATTTCATCATAATCTCGGATATCTAGATGAGCTAATTGTTCCCTCAATTCTGGTCTAGCCTTCTCCAATAAGCGCTTAGCCTTCCATTCAGAATCATCCCTATACTGCAGGTACGTGGAGTATCTAGATAACTCCTGAAACTTAGCAATGAATGTGTCCTCATCGAGGTTCCCTTGCTTAAAGGCATGGAATTCCGCTTCCTTCTCAGACCTTAACTTTGATGGAAAGTAATGCCTGAATAATTTTTCCTTGAATTCCTCCCAGGTGAGTGTAGAATCATCCCTGGGCCCTGCTGTCTCCCACCAATCTCTTGCTCCTTTCACTAGGAGCACTAATGCTACTTGTACTTTTTGATTGCTGGTGCATGTGACTACTCGAAAGATGGATTCGAGTCTCTTCACCCATTCCTCTACCACGGATGGTTTAAGGTTACCATCAAACGTAGGAGGGTTAAACTTCCTAACAGTTTCCCACACATCATAATGGTCGGTGGGGCTCTCTGTTCCTCCTGCCTAATTTCCTTCCTTCTAGACTCATGATCTCTCGGAGTGGCAGGATGTGAGGAACTGCCTTCCCCCACATGACTCTCAACATGAGCCCTATCTCCATTTTCAGTTACCTTTTGCCTCTTTAGCTCCGTCAACTCTTGTTCGTATCCTTGAACCTTGTCTGTTAATGTTTTTACAAGCATTCTCAATTCCGCCAAGTCAGGCTCCTCATTTGGCAGTGGCGGTGGTAGGTGCTCATGTTGGAATCCTGAGTTACCACGAGTAACAGGCATTTTCTCTCCCCTCCTAAAGGATACAAGATATAAATAATAAAATTAGCCTAGCTATATCATGGCCATACAATGAGAAGCACCATAACAATGTATATTGCCAACCGACTATATGCTCTGATACCAATATGTAACACCCTCAAATTTACAGACCGATTTTTCGCAAATTATTAATTCAAAAAATCATTTTTTTTCTTTATTTTTTTTTCATTGTACCCTTATCATGGTAGAAAAATTTCTACCACGATACATCCAAGACAATATACCACAGGTCTTAAAATATCTAAAAAAACAATTAGAACCATGAGGGACAGACATGATCCTCATAGCATGTTATTCAAATCAGATCATAAATCAAGAGGGACAGACATAATCCTCTTGGTCATATAAATACTTTTAATAAAAAGGATTAAGTTTACATGCTTCACAAAGAAGATATGTCCTAAGTTGGCACAAGATACATTGTATAATCTAAAATAAGAGGCAACGTAAAAGATGGTGTCTCATACACCACAGTTACACCTCTGGTGCTTTCTCGGCCGGATTCGCTCCTGTAAAAATATTAACCACGGGGAATGAGACTTAAAAGTCCCAGTAACCAAAAATTAATATGTAATGATGCATGCGGATGTAACTAATCATGCGATTGCTAAGTGGGCACACAAAACATTTAACCGAACAATACTTTCAAACAAACCGAACAAGTATTTAATTTGCATGACTGCACTTATATCCTCCTTTCGCCATGCTCGGACGCCAAATCACCCGGCCAAAGGTGAGTTGGACCAAGCGACACGCCACTCATTGGGTCCAATCAGGGCTTACCACGTGGTAATAATTAATCGAACAGAAATTCCCATTAACACCATACATTAAAATACCCTGACAAGTCATGCATCATTCAAATATCCAAACAGGAATATATCCGAACAATAATATCTCATCATGATAAACAAAAATAAATTTTTAACCCACTTGGCAATAATTTCAAACAAGTATATACAGTATTTATTTTCAATAATTATAATTTTTCCAAACAACAAAACAACACATAACCATTCACAAACACACTCATCACAACACATTAATAATGGTTACCTTGTGTCTTGAATAACAAGTTCCCCTTCACAACTCCTTTTTCACCACTATCTTTGTCAATATAATCTACATAATTATTTCACAATACTATATATTAATTTTACATTAAAATAAATAACTCTAATTTAAATAGTTAGAAAGTCTTAGATCTATAATCCATATTAACACTAATTTAAGATTTATGCCTCATTTAACTTCCCAAATTCTTTTCTAAAATTCTCGTACCCTAATAAACTATTTTTTTATCCTCAAATCATTTCTAGTATCACAATTTCATCATTCTATATTCTAAAAATTCGTCCAAAAATAAATTAAATAATTTTAGAATTATCCTGAAGCCTCAAATCACCTTTCTATAACCTCAAAAATACCTATTTATACTTAAATAAATATTTAATAATCATAGGTTTATCCCTACGTCTCAGATTCCACATAAATTCAACCATATAGATCTAGATTTTAACTCAAAAATTCTTAAACATGAGTTTCAACCTCAAGAAAATATTCTATAATATTTATTATATCCCTAAGAATTTTAACCTATATTTTTAATCCATCATATCATCAGATTAACTATCCTATAGAAAAATTCTAATCAAAATATTTACTCTATCCTACAAAATAATCATATCACTAGAAAGCTAATATTATTTAGAAAATAACTATAAAATTAATTTTGTAATTAAATAAATTTTTAAATGCTAATCTAAACAGGAAAGTTAGAACATACCTGAAGAAAAAGAAAATAATCCCCCCTTGTGAGAAAACGCCGAGCAACGTGAGAGGAAGAGAGAAAAATAATATAAAAATGGGATTGTGAGTCCCAAAATTATATTAAAAAAAAACTATAGGTTTGAATTTAATTATTCAAACCTTTGGGCCAAAAGTTGCAATTTTCTCTAAATTACATCTTAGCCTCTCATGCTTCCTAATGCACACACCCCCTCCTTTTTATACATGAAGGCACCTCTTCTCTTCCCTCATCTAACCAATGTGGGACTTAGAAACAACAACCTTCCACCCCCTTTTTTTTGTTCCTTCTACCTTCTCTCTTTTTTTTTTCAACACATACATAAAAAAAATTATTTATGTATTATATCTTAACTAAATATTGCTTATGTGGTTTTAAATTTAAATTTTTAAATTCATAATTAAATACCTAACCATAATATTATTTCTAAATAACCTCAAATAATATAAATTCCTATTATTATCATTTTTTTTCTCAAAACCTAAATTTCACAATTTCTTTATTATATAAAAAATCAGGATGTTACAGATACCTGCCCAGGTGTGCATATCCAGGCATCAAGTGGTCTGAGTGTTTTAGTAAGGTTTTGGTTCAATCCAAATAATTGAAAATAATTTTATTTATCTAAAAAATATAATCATAATTATCTGAAATATATTTTTTACAAAACTAATATTAGGATTAAAAATACAAAATTTTAAATTATATATACTTAACCATTATTCATCATTTTTACTTAGCATAGAACTAAAAATTAAAGGGTAAACATAACTTTAATTTCTATACTTTACTCACATTTTGTTTTTAGTTCTTATATTTTTTTAGTGTTTTATGTCCCGTTGTTTTTCATTATTTTTGATTTCTTTAGGAGCAAAGTATAAGAATCTTGTAAGGATTTAAAATAATAAAAAATAAAAGTGTAAGGATCTAAAATATTAAAAAAATATAAGGACCAAAAGTTATGTTTATCCAAAATTAAATTTAAATTTTAAAAAAATTAAAAAAATTGAAATCATAAAAAATGTTGAGTAAAATAATAATATAAATGATTAATTTTTATAAAAAAGTTATTAAAAAAAAAAAACAAAACAATGCGTGTGTTACTCGAGCTGGGAGGGCATGTCTTAGCCCGAACTCGGTGCTCTACCTGACTAACCCGAATAACTTGGACAGGACTCGGCTGTCAGCCCACCTGCACTGCACGGCCCTAATCGTGGATGTGATGGGGAGAGTGAAAGTGTTGGGAGGGAAGCCACTGGAAATGAAAACCACAAAGACATAGAATATATTTGAAAAAACGTACATTTTAATCTTCACACCTTATTGGTCTTTTATTATAAATTTTTATTTTTTTAATATTTTGAGTCCAAATATTTTTATTTTTTAACATTTTACACTCTATGCTTTATTTATTTTCTTCATTTAAGAACCTAAAATATTAAAAAATAACAATATATGACCTAAAATATCATAAAAAAGCATAAGGTCTTATAGTAAAATACGAATAAAGTGTAAGGATCAAAAGATATATTTTTTTAATACATTTCTTCGCGATCACAATATATATTATTGATAATTATTTTACATTTTATAAGAAAATGTTAGTTGAAATTTTATTTTTTAAAAAAATATTTATATCTTTATATTTATACTTTTGAATTTTTTTAATAATACATATATGATTTTTAAATATAGAACATTTAAAGACAAAAAATATAAAGAAAGCAAGGGTGTAAATGATGAAGGACATAAAATTTGACTAATGTCCAATATTTTGAGTCAAAAGATTCTTCTAAAAAGTGCGTTCTATTGTGATATAGTAAGAGTAGAGGATGAATAGCAGAAGAATATTGTGGGACGACTTGATTGATATGGACGAAGACTGAAATCTGAGGTGAGTCACGCCATCCAAGGATAGCGCGTTGCAGCTAACGCGATGCTGAGCATCAAATACTACGAATCGAGTGTATTAAATCAAACCTACCCCTCTAAATGGGGTCAAAATCAAACAAACCAATCAACTTTCATAACTAAGCTATTTTTTTCTAAAAAAAATTATTCCTAGCATAACCTTTTTCCAATATATATATATATATATATAGGACACGCATCCACCCACAGCTACGAGCATACTAACAAGTCAGATACTAGCGATTGTCTTGCAATTTGTATTAAATACAGCTTGCTCAAAATTGTAGGCAATCAGTAGTGCACTCGTTGCTTGTTTATAACCAACTCAATTAAATTTCACGTTAAGGTGTCTGTTGCTCTTAATCGATGAAAGCATCATTTAGGAGTCTTTCCTTTTCTTGCCAGTTAGTTTCAGATCCAAACACGATTCAAAAATTTAAAAAAAAAAACAAACAAACAAAGAAGTCCTCGATGAAGAAAAATATCTCACAGTCTTGTATATGAAGAATGATTATATGCATGGAATATTGGCAAGTAATTAGGAACTGAAGGCGAAAGGCCAAGGAAAATATGACGAGCTTGGTGGCGGCAATGGGAAGGGCCAGGGGAGAGGCAGATGAATAGAAGATAGAATAGATTGTAGAATTGCAGACAATGTACGGATAGATCTAAAGTTTTCTTTTTCATGGGTTGCTGAATTGTGTATAAATGTGAGTACACATTGAAAAGAAGAGATAAAAGCTGACGGGGGAATAAAGCAAGGAGAGGGAGATGCAGCATTCCAGCCAGGCAGTAGGATTTGACAGATTCCGCGTTCTCATCCTTTTCTGGTTTATAAAATATTTGCTGGAAACGCGTCCATGTTTGGGGCTTGAGAAAGAAAGATAAAGTTGGCATGGGGGGTCTCTTTAATTTGCATGCATATATGGCGTATGCTGATTGATCATGACTCCCCTTTCTCTTCCTTAATCTCCAATTACTCTTTAATTAATTATTCCCATCCTTCCCTCCACGGTGCTTCCTTCTGTACCTTTTACTGTTCCCAATCTGTTTTTGACCTCCGTAATTATTATCTTTTTTTGCTTTTGCTTTTGCTTTTTAATTTCCCTCAAACTTGTTATTCCCATTCATTGCCCCGTCGCATCCGTCCTATATATTTATATGACCTCCCCCTTATTCAATTGAAGGTATCCAAACCCCTCCCATCTTGCTTGCTCCCCCCCCCCCAACCAAAAAAAAAAACTCTAAAATATAAAATATTTTTTTTATTTTTTATTTTTACCTCTTATAAATATAGTAGTGAAATTACAAAATACATTAAGAACATTCAATTAGTTATCAATAGAGATTAACCATTTAATTTGCGGTGAGGAGTTGCTGAGTAAGAAATGCTACTATTTTCATTTCAAAATATTAAACGTACGCTCAGAGTTATAATACATGCATGTGCAAACTTTTCATTTTCACTGTCGTATAAATATCCCAACTTTATTGTATTCCCTCCTAGTCTGATGCATAACAAGATCCTGATCTACTTTGTATCACCGTGTTCTAATTAATAGCCGGGCAATATAATTGGTGACAATAGTTTTCACACGGCCTTTCACGCACACGTTTGTTCTCGCGTCCAATTACATTCTACTTGGAAGTGAATTATTTTAAATAACTAGCAACAGCCCTGCGCGTTGTACGGTACATAAATCAAGAATGTTCCTTGGAATAGTCATTTTGCACGAAAGATCATAAGTTGGGCTGTATCTTGAAAAATGATCTTATCAACGCAACACTTGAATAATGATCGGTACTCAGTAGTGCATGGCAGAATTGCAAGGTCATAATTACCGAAGCCTGCGTCAATCAATTAATTGCAGTGCAAGCTCCACGTTTTTGTTAGAAAGGCATTTTATGCTAAACCTGAAATACATGCATGTTGGCATTCTCTCCATGCCTTCCTCAGTACATCTCTGCATGTCGAATTCCGTCCATCTATTTAATTTAATGAGGTTAGATTGTTAATTATATTATTAAAATAAATACATTATTCACTATCATTGATTAAATGCTTTTGAAAATAAATTTGTATTAATAAAAATCATTAAATGAATAACATATTTATTTTAATATCATAATTAGTAATATCATACCATTAAATCAAATGAATAAAGCATTGAGCACCGGAGAGATGTGTTGAGCAAAGGCACGTAAATTTTTGATAACTTATTCTAACATCATTTTCTTCATTTTAAATTATAAAATATTTTTTATAAATTTTTTTATTTTAAAATATAACACACTTTGACTAAATTAATGTTTCATTAAATATATCAATTTTAATATAATTTTTCTCTCTTTTTATAATTAATTTTTATTATTTTTTTAATATATTAAATGATAGGTATTGGTTTATATTTTTATTTTAAAATTATTAAATATATTTAATAAAATTTATTAATATATAAAATTTTATTTAAAAATATTTTTTAATTTAAAATGAAGGGACTATTATGTAACAGTTAATTGAGGTTGTGCTTGTGTTGACGGAATAACTGCATTGAATGCTTAATTAACTTGAAGGTGACAAGTGCGTTTGAGCATTAAACCCAGGATCACTTGATTAGGCGGAGGCCGTAGTATTGAATCCCCTCACCTGCCCCCCCGCCACCACCTCATTCCTCTTCCTATATATACACTCTCCAGAGAAATCTCTTCCCTCCTCCCATCTTATGGCTCCCCCTTCCATCTTCCCCCTCTCTCTCCTCCTCCTCCTCCTCCTCCTCGCAGCTTCTCCTCCCGCTTCGTCCCACCAGGTCGTCGCCTCCGACTGCCTCAAGGTTTCCTCCTCCCAGTTCTCTTCCTCCGTCTCTCAGGCCCTCCATGTCTTGCGCCAGCTTATCTCCCTCTTGTCCCGCTTCTCTGATTTCTCCCCCGACTCTCGCATCTCCCGTGCAGTTTTCGACTGCCTCGATTTGCTCGACGTGTCCTCCGATCAACTTTCCTGGTCCGCTTCTGCTTCTCAATCTCCCCAAGGTAACCCCACTTCGATCTACTACCATAACACTCTCAACTCTTGAGCTCCCCTGTTTCCCCTCTCCGTTCCATGCACCATCCCTCATCACCGCTTTCTTGCAGGCAAGCATAACGGTACTGGAAACCTGAGCTCCGATTTGAGGACCTGGTTGAGCGCCGCGCTGGCGAATCCGGAGACATGCATGGACGGTTTTGAAGGCACCGACAGCATCGTGAGCAGTCTGATATCCAGCGGCCTGGGACAGGTGACCTCGTTGGTGCAGGAGCTGCTGGCCCAGGTGCACACTGTCCCGGACCATTTCTCCAGCCGCAAGAGCTGGTTCCCCTCCTGGATTAAACCTCGGGACCGCAAGCTCCTGCAGGCCAATGGCGTGCCGGTAGATGTGGTGGTGGCTGCTGATGGGACCGGAAATTACACCAAGGTGATGGATGCGGTGCTTGCAGCTCCTGACTATAGCATGAAGCGCCATGTTATATATGTTAAGAGAGGCGTGTACACCGAGAACGTGGAGATCAAAAAGAAGAAGTGGAACCTCATGATGATTGGTGACGGTATGGATGCCACCATAATCTCCAGCAACCGTAGTTTCGTGGACGGTTGGACGACCTTCCGCACCGCTACTTTTGGTAACCTCTTTCTCTTTGTTTATCTTGGTCTTAAAGAGAAGGCTTCAACTGAATTTTTGAAAAACACATGTTTACATCATGTTTAATTATAACGAAAAGACGTTTTAAATTAAGCACAGATACACGGACTTCGGCGGGTCAAGGTAAAAATGTACTATGTGATATGGTCTTTTCCCGTGAAGTAAATTGCGTACGCATTGAGTTTGGGTGTCGTGCTTCGCAAATGATGAGACAGAGACAGGAAGAGGGACAGGAAACTAGTATCACGGAACTGTTAGAAATGGATGAAATAGCCCAAAGCTGCTCTAACACGGAGCAGAAGCTAATAAAAGAAGAAGCTAAGAAAGCAATTTCAACCGTGAATGGGGACCCGATTGATTGAAGAAAAATTAATGAGCATGTGGGGGGCAATTAAAACTTAAAGAAAGAAGGATAAAAGGAAGGCTCGGAATCAGATATGTGACCCATTTTCCATTGTGGCATGTGCAGCTGTCAGCGGGAGAGGGTTCATAGCACGAGACATGGGGTTCCAGAACACGGCAGGGCCGGAGAAGCACCAGGCAGTGGCACTGAGATCCGACTCGGACCTCTCAGTGTACTACCGATGCGGCATTTATGGATACCAGGACAGCCTCTACACCCACACGATGCGGCAATTCTACAGAGAATGCAAGATCAGCGGCACGGTGGACTTCATCTTCGGGGACGCCACGGCCGTGTTCCAAAACTGCCAGTTAGTGGCAAAGAAGGGCCTGGCAAATCAAAAGAACACCATCACGGCTCAGGGGCGAAAGGACCCCAACGAGCCGTCGGGTTTCTCCTTCCAGTTCTGCAACGTGTCGGCAGATTCAGACCTGGTGCCGTGGCTGAACTCGACGCAGACGTACCTGGGAAGACCGTGGAAGAGCTACTCACGAACAGTGTTCATGCAATCGTACATGAGCGAGGTCGTGAGGCCAGAAGGGTGGCTGGAGTGGAACGGGGACTTCGCGCTGGACACATTGTACTACGCCGAGTACCTGAATTACGGGGCCGGAGCAGCGCCGGAGAAGCGAGTCAAATGGGGAGGCTACCGGCCTCTGAACGATTCCAGCCAGGCCGCTAACTTCACGGTGGCTCGCTTTATTGAGGGCAATCTCTGGTTACCTTCAACGGGGGTCACTTACACCGCCGGCTTAGGGGTTTGATTCCTCCTCAGGAGAAATTTATTTATTTATTCTATAAGACCGACCGACACGATGTATTCTCGTTGTTGTTGAGATAAAATTCTCTCTCAATAACATTCGCGATTAACTTAAGAAGACGTGCGTAGTTACTTTCTGGTTTCCTCAGACACCTCATGTGCCCGAGGCAGGAGGATCCTTCTTTTATTCTTTTGGACCAAGCAAAGCAACATCTAGTCTCCACAACGTGTTACATCATTTGCCGATCAATAAATCACGTCTTTGACGGTTTGACCCTTGCTTGCGCACGGACTGTGCATAATATGTTAAATTACTGACGGTTTGAATATTTCAAAATACGCCATGCATTTCGTTTTTAGGGTTTTTTGAATATCAACTTTGAGGCCTGATGGGACCCAAAGACAAACAAGAGGAGAGTGACCAAACAACAAAATGAGTGATGAGTTCGAAGGGAAAGGAAAAGAAGTGGAGTATGAAGGCTACCTGAGATAAGCAACAAAATGGGAATGGCCATAGTAAATACTAAATAGAAGCGAGTGGTATAGTATGATGCATCAGCGTCACCCACCATTGATTTTTAATCATCCAAAGGCCCTCTCATTTTGGCCAGTGATGACTTTGTTTCATGGGATTTGACGTGATGAAACAGCCAAACGCGCGGTTCCTTAGGAAATTACCGGGGCCATTCCCATGTTAATTTTAATTATAATTACTTTCTCAACCCTTGAGGATGAGCGGCGAGGCAAGGTTTTATTGGCATCCTGCGGCCCCACATAAAGTTGTTTGGTTGCGAGATGGCGTCTTTGTTTTCGTGGTTTGATGAGGATGGTTTAGATGTTGGAGGCATGCTTTCAACACTCACAATGATAACAAAAATTTATACTTCGGAGGATCGAGTCAGAGGGTCCATTGTAAAAGGAGCACAGGATTATAAAGTCGGCGGAATCACAAGTTATTGGAACTTGGGAAGTTGTTCGCAACCCATTTTATTTGAATCGGTAAATGTCTCTCTCTTCCGTTTCCGGGCAGGAAAAGAAATTGGGTTCTCAAAGACTTTCTCGGAATCTGCTACGGAAAAGGCATTCAACCGCATTCAACAGAACCACCGCCTTCATCTGAAAGGGACATTTCAAGATTCCAAACAACTCGGCCTCGCAAGTCCAGAGCAGTGGTTTCGAAGGACCATTGCCAGCAACAAGAACAAACACAAGATCTCTGCCTTGTCGAGATCATACGAATTATTCCCACGCGATCTAGTTTGCAAGCAAGGCCACAAAAGATTTCGAGCAATGCATCATCCAACTGCCTATTGATGTTAGTAACCTACCTACATTATTCAAGTTCTCATAATCCTAAATAGAAACTATATTCTAAACGTTTCTCTCACATCGTAATTAGGTTTGGATCCTGACCCCCAACATCTTGGATAACCGACATGCATTTTTGCTTGTGTGCGAAAGGCTGAGGCAAAAGCGTGATACATAATCATCCCATAGTATCTGCCTTCCAAGAGAAGGGAAATCAACAAATTGGAACAGAGGAAATACATTATTTTACAACCAACAAGGAAAAAAGGTTACAAATAATAAGCTGTACATTTACCATTTCATGGGATAACGTCTTCCATTCCCTTTCTAATAAAAGGATCTCCAGGAATTGGAGGAGCCCTTGCAAACTATGGAAAAGGAGCAAAAATTGGGAGACGACAAGATACAATGAGGTATAGCTATAAGAGAAGACAGTATCATGAATGTTCATCACAAAGGTCAGATTGGGAGCCACTAGGGTGTAACATTGGAGGAGACCACTGATCAGGCACCATAAGAAAATATGCACTCATAGCTTTCCTGAACCGTTTCTTGTACTGTTGAGGCGATATTACTGTTGGAGCAGTGTTCCTAGGTCCACCTAGGATCCCTGACGTCTTCACCCAAGTTTCAAGGTGCTTATCCCATGTATATTGCCTCATAAAATCAATTATCCCTAAAACCAGCTCATGCTTTTCCTCATCCACACCAACCAGCAACGAATAATCCATCACATAAATCGACTGGACCAACATTAGCAATATCATATCGCCAAGAAATGAAAACATAAAACATGAGGAAATTATGTATGGAATCAAGAAGGGAAGTGATATTCAACTCACAGCAAGAAATGAAGTATCATTCCACACAGCCCTCTCAAGCAACCGCTTTGCCTTATTCCCAACAAATATTGGAGAGGTAGGCATTGCTTCTATGAGATTCTGATCCAGGAGAACTTTATTACTCCCACTTGTATCTGGGTTGTAACGTGATCGAGATGACCCTTTTAAATCATAAAGCAGTCTGATGTTCCGCCTAAAGAGAAGATTTTCCATTACCAACACGTCCATCTTTGTTTCCTTTCCTCCTTTGAGGTGCTTTGATGTCACCTTCAAATTTTATAATCAGAGTGAGAACTAAAATGTCTTAGTTGCACAAGGAAAATAAAGTGGTTATTCATAATCAAGATAGCGTTCTTTGATATGCCAACACATTCTACTTTCTGCATATATATGCATGGCGGCAGTGTTTAGCATTGTATTAACAGAGGGAGGGGGATTTATTTTGATCCCAAATAGGTAAATGTAATATATACGCTTATTTGCAGCAGAAAGCGGGGGCAGGCAAGCACTTAAATAGGCATTCCATCACTAGGAATGTGTCCACGACTTGACATATAAAAAATGGGTCTTTTGGAATTTACATTTAGTACCTGATAAATGCCCAAGATCTTAGCTAGACAAGTAGGGCTTCCTGAGCTGATTGATTCGGACAAATATTTAAAATAAGCTGGTGCAAACTTGATGAATGACTCAAGCTCTGTCTTTGTAACTTGTTTGATTATAAATCTATCATCCAAAGTTTTAGCAAAGAAAACATTGCTCTTTCCTCCCTGGGCCCCCCACTTCTTACAACGACTAAGAGACCGCACAAAATCTAACTCTGAAGGACAACAAATCCTTCTAAGAGCCTCAAATCTCTTTGCAAAGTAGCAAGTCACAGTATACTTGACCTTTCCAAGGGAGCTATCGTCCGTAAAAGAAACCCTCGCATGGAAATCCTTTGCATCCAAGTGTGGATCCCCAGCCTGAGAACTTCGAGAAAAAAAGGATGAAGAGATGCTCTCATCAGAAGAGCCAAAACTTCTGTATGTATTAGTAATTGTCTCATCAAAAGAGCTAAGAGAAAGTAGACTTGTGGAATCAAAAAGTGGCAATGAAACTGAACAATCTCCACTGTCTTTAGCCCTTTCAGATTCTGCCATCTGCACGTGATAATCTAGTGACATAAGCACGTACGCTATTGCACTAGTGGGTTCATCATCGTAGACAGGCACTACGACATCATTAATACCAGCAGGCAGAAGCAATCTGGCACCAATCTGGCGCTCCAATTCTCGAAATGATAAAATGTAGACAGGGTTGTACTCACCAAGTTTTTGAGTATTCAAGGAAGAAGTTTTATTGAATGAACTGTATAAGTTTGGAAACGGCATCCCGCTCCATCTTGTATCAAGGCCTTTGAGAAGCAATTTAGAATCATGCTTGCTTCCCATCTCATCCACACCCCTACTACCGGTATAATTTTCAAAATCTGATTTTGCTTCAACCAAATCTCCCATAGGCGGAGGATCTGTTGGAGATGCATCTGGAGACACACAAATATTTTCTTTTGGTGTCAAATTTGTTGGGTGACTTTCACCAGTCCAGGCGGCATCAAGGGTATAAGATAAATTAGCCATAATAGAAGACTCACCCTCTGGCTGAGCCCTTTGAACAGCTCCTCCAAACTCTATAGGTTCACATTTATCACCAATATTTGCAACATCAGAAAGAGAAAGGTCAACCTTTCCATGACTTGTGTTTATATCCTTGTCTTCACATTTATGTGCTTCGCCAGGTTGGTTAAGGAGGTCTGTGCTTCCTTGAGTAAGACTTCCATCAGGATTTTCTCCTGAAAGAAAGGAATCACAACTGCCATGGCCCCTCCCTGGCTTGGAGGCCACATTCACCTCAACAACCTTCTCCCTGGAGCCAATTGGCTTCTCCTTGACATTTGGAGGCGAATTCCTTGTTTCTTCTTGAAGCATAATTTTACTTTGATTGGAGGCATATATCAGGCGTTGGTCCCAGACATAAGAATGAATCATGATCTGCCTGAGCAATTTATTGAGCTCAAGATTATCAACCACATGATGGCCAAATTTGACCTCTCTATTCAGCACCTTTCGCAGCAATTCCTACACATAACCAAGAAATATTGTATTACCACCTGAAGCGTAGTAAAACAACAAAAATTAAAGTGACCCTAATATATTATTCATTATCCTCGGAAGCTAGTAGAGGGCCAAATGTTCAAGAGAGCCAAAATGTGGTTGAGATTCATTTATACTCATTACATGGGCAAATTATGCTTTCATTATTTCTTTTGAAGAGGGACGCTGAGAGGAGAGAAATTAGAGGGAGAAATCAATTCCAAGTAACCCACCGCAAATTCTTCTTTCTCTTTCTGCAGCATCCCTTCAAATTCAGTAATTAAGTGCCTGAAATCAGATGCTTTATTTCCTCCCTCCTGCAGCACAAAACCTGCAAACTTACCCGACATTTGATTTAGAGCATTGCCAACTTCAGCAAATAGCACATCAGCCCTGTTGTGCACCTGGTGGATAAGATCGGTGTTCACATAAATACTAAAGCACTCAAAACTGGACAGCATATTACAATTAAGATCAGTTATAAACCTCATCTTCTTCTTTCTGTATCCATCCTTGATTATCATAGTTGAATTCAAGTTTAGGCGGGGGAAGATAAACAGAATGAAGGTCAATTGAAGCATAGCGGAAACAGGCAACCATCTTCCCGAAACTGCATGAAGAAAACAATGATTATAATATTTCTACAGACGCAGACCATGACAGCCTTTTTCTTGGCTAGCGCACATTGGAAGAGATAAAAAAAATATTATCAAGCATAAACTCGACTGTTGAGTATGATCCTTTACCGTCATCTTTATTTATGGTATCACTATTAACTTACTTCAATGCCATTTGTTTCCACTTTCACAGCATATCACAAACTAAAGAGCATTACCTCATTGCACAAATGTTGCTCGAAAAGGGAGAATAAGGAAAGATATTGGCACTTTTTTATGCACAATATAAAATCTTAAACATTTGAGTTATATCTTCATTATAAACTAAGTTAACAGAAATATCAATCTGACTTGTATCTAGTTCCAGGTATCACACGCTTCATTTGAGCATGCGAGTAGTAGGTCAATTGGTGTGATTATCTAATCAAGCTTTATGATGTTTTGAGACTTGTCAGACAAATATAAATCCCTCCTTTGTTACAGAAATAGAGATAGCCAATTAGACAAAAGCACCAGTGCTATATTTATGCCATGTTCAGTTTTCCTTTAGCTCATTATGGTCTTCCATATCACATTTTCACTATAAATTCAATATAAGAGGACAAAACTCAAAAGTATACCCATAGAATCTTAAACAGTCTCTGTGGAGAGAATGACCACAACTTGCAACCCTGCTAGCTGCTGCATGATTTGAAAAGCTTAGCTCCAAAAATTTACCAAAAGATAGGCCCCAGGCAGCATCAGACATAACTATTCTCCGAGTGGCTGGAGGAAAACCATTTACACGAGGACACTTCAGGCACCGGTGCCACATCCAGATTTTACCTTCTCGTTCCCCTGGTAAAAATGCAGGTAATTTCTTAACAGAAATTGTAAGGCTCCCTTGCCGGTGAGTGTAACAATGAACATGAGCTTCTGATGGCATCTCACATGAGTGGCAGCGGTAACTCTAGTAAGGAAAAGTCAATCTTGTTTGAGTTTTGAGTTCATGAAATTGCCATTGTCCATTGGTGATAAAATCAACTAAATAAAGCCACAATCATAAAGGGAACAATAAGTACCTGATCAAATAGTTGATCTCGCAAAAATCGTCCTAAAGGCTTATCAGAACTTCCATAATATTTAATTCGTACAAGGTGGGACCTTTCACAAACAGTTCCTTTCCAGACACAACGTGTAGATAAGAAAACCAAAATACTTTGATGGTCTGAAGTTGAGGGTGGAAAATCTTCTTTTGAATTTATGACGTCAGACTGAATACTATTATTATTATTATTATTATTATTGTGTTTTCCATGTAGTGGCTCAAGGCATTCTCCATGATTTGCAGACAACACAGTGCCACTGGTATGGTTTATACCAACTTGTCCTGAAGGCTCCAAGGTGTAGAAAGAATCAGAAATGAGATCATTATTCAACACAGACTCCCTTCTCACATCTCGTGTGCATTGAAAAAATTCTTTAGGATTTCTTTTATTGTCCTCCTCGGAATCATTATTTGGGAGGAAATCTTTGTAGTGGGAAGATGAGGTATCCTGTCCTGATGGAATGGCATCTCCAGAGAGTGCTTGCATGTGGGTCAAGCTACCCACCAATGATTCATCAATGGAGTCAATGCAACAAGATGAGTTTCTTTCTTTCTTGTGGCCATCATTAGATTTTAGCAATTCTTTAACAGAATCAGTTCCTTGATGCTCTCGAGCACCCACAACTGAAAATCCAGGAACAGTGGAAATAGACCTTTCAATGCTAGATGGTTTGTCAGGTAGTGCAACAGTAATGGGAGATTTCAAGGGAAGTTCTGGAAGTGTAGCACCTTCATCAGCCAGAAACGATGTTTCCAGAGCCAGGTGATAGGCTGCAAAAACTCCATATTGTACTACATGTTTTACCTTCTTCAACTCATCTCCATTGGCACCCTTAAGCAAGATCTTGAAACACAAGACAGATGGATATAAGTAATGAAAAGATTTAAAAAAATAAAAAGAAAATAAAAGCAACAGATCAATTTCAAATCTGTTTACAAATGATTTTTCGAAACTAATGATGTTGAATTTTAAGTGGCAATATAAAACAAAAATTACAGCAAACCTACACATTGCAATTTCAAGTAACAGACAATTGACTAGAATAGAAGCCCTCCTACAGATCCGGGAGGGACTAAAAACCTGGGACCATAAGCACAAGTACTTATGACACAGCTTTTCAAGTTCCAAAACACGCAAGTTTATAGGACTTACAGTGCAACCCAAAGGCCTTGGGCAACCCTCAAAGAACATCAGCGTCTTCGTCAATTTCTTCCCACTTTGCCCAGCACTGCCATGCTCCTCAAAATATTTGTCCACGTGAAATGATTCACAGGTCCCCAGCTTTTGGGGATTCATATGATCAATTGAAGGGACAATTTGTGCACCAGTACATCGAGCAATACGTTCTAAAAGTGGCCTCTTGATATTCAGAACAAGTGATACATCTTTAGCAAGAAGGTATTCTTGAGCATACCTAGATACTGATTTCTCTACCAAGAGAACATTGGGATAGTGAGAACCAATCTTTGCAACTGCCATCTTCAAATGGTCCATCTCCTAGAGAAGAGTGAAAGATAATAAAATAGATAAGTACTGTAATAGCAATAAAAGTTGTGGAAAATTTCTTCAGCTGTATCCACTAATCACAAAACACGCTTCAGGTATAACAATCAAATTAAGAGTTGGTTTGCATCGAATGCAAAGGAAACCTGCTGCAATAAAGTATCAACACTAGATAACTGGTTAGAAACACGCTGATACTCCAATGCTCCTCCAAGTATTAAGAAACGTGGTTTATCATGCTTTGATGTCATTCGCCGGTGAGCCACATTCTTCTTACAAACAACTCCTTTAACCACCTTGCTGGGAAAGAGCAAATTAGAATATCAGTAAACAGATATAGATGGCAGAAAGAATGAATTTATGAACCTTCAACGAAAGATGCATATTGAGATGTGCCACATAATTGAATTTACCAGCCAATTTTGCCAAGCTGAATCTTTTATTATCAAGAAAACAGACCCCTCTCCCAACAAGCACTTTGAAATCAGTAGAAAAATATGTATATAATCAAACATTCACACTGCACAAACAACTAGGATGCACTTGAGCTCATTTCCAGAAAAATTAATACCAGAACAGAAAGGAACAGTGAGATTGGAAGAAGATGATACTAATTTAACAGTCCTTCAACACAATAGAAACGCACATTTGTTGGATATAAAGTAGTTCAGTAAACAACAACAACAACAAAAAACAAGCAAACAAGCCTTATCCCACTAGGTGGAATTGGCTAGATGGATTGCATGGTACCATTATGCTTTATCAGCAACCAAATCTTTGAATATATTGTTTACTAAAGGTCCCGCCACAATAACTATGATGATTATTCTTGTCAATCTTCCTCTACCTTTATTCACAAGACTCAAAACATGAAGTAGTTCAATAGTGGATGGTATAAGATAATTATAATAAAACTTAATGAATTTCTTAATTATATGCCTACAAACAGCTATGTAATATTAAAAATGCCAATTCTTCTGTGCAGGTAATTGTTACCATCAATGTAATTCACATACATTAGTTGTTACATCTCAAAAAGTGAAGGAAAAATAGATAATAAATTTCAATATAATTGCACAATTTGACCCCAAAAAGAATAAGACAACCGTATCTAATTTGTCTGAAGTCAAAACAAAAATGTTGTATCAGATAGTAATTTCTTGAGAGCACAATGGCGTCTTGCAATCCATGTAGCCGACCTCACCTAGTGGGATAAAGACTTGTTGTTGTTGTAGATAGTAATTTCTTGGAATAAAGTTATGCACTTAAAGTTGATCAATTACCACACAATACAATGGACTCAAATTACAGATTACAGATAATTCAACTAGAACAAAATAATTTGTATAAAATGTAACAAATACAAAGCAAATTAAAAACCAGAAGTGAGGTGATGCAAATTTCATTAAAGAATACCATTCCTGAAGTACATTAAAGTACATTAAAGTACAAATCAACTAACAAGATCATTGAAGCATGTCCACCATCACAGGTTCCAGATGCCCATAAGAGTTCACAATGAAACATGAACACAAGGTATCAAGAGAGAAAGAGAGAGTGGAAATGCTCTACCAACACCTAGAGTTATATAATAGCTCAATAACTTCTCATTTGAGTGAAAGGTCCAGTAACATTACCTTTCACTTTGGCGCCCACAAGCTATGCATTTGACCTTTACATATCCACCAGGGTCCATGCCTCCACCCTTGCTCATATCAGGCTTCAAAAGGGTGGCCGCTTCCCAGGACAATGCTGTAATTATATCCAGCCAACTCTCTTTGTGATCTTCGTCACAAACAGCTAAACTCTCAACCTGCAAAAGCTGAGCTACCAAAGCTCTAAAATGCCCTTCCACTACATTCTTCATGGCCTTCCGGTGCTCCTCACTTGCTTTATCCCTACCACGGTATTCACCAGAACCAAAGCTGGCAGGGGATCGAAGATATCCCCACTCTCCAGCAGCACCCTCATCATCAACATCATCCTCGAAAAAAAGAACAGCTTCTCTTTCATCCTCTTCATCTTCTGGCTCAGGAGGGAGCCACAGTAGCCCATTATTCTCAAAATCCACAGGTTCAGAATTAGTGCTTTCCTCAATGTAATGAGATGTGTCACATCTGTCAACATGATCATTCTCATCAGCTTCTTTGGCAGGTGCTTGAATTCCATCTACGCCCTCTAGATCAAGATTCTGAGCAGGCATTAAAGAATTCAAACTTTTTGTCTCTGTGTTATCTCTGTAATGATGCATTTCAAGTGGTCCATAGACGTGGTCAATCCCATGAATGTCAACAGGATCGTCATAGTCATTAACACGAGAAAAATGCCTTGATTCTGTATCAGAGTGATAGCCACCATAGTCATCATCCTCATCATCACTCCTGCTGGTTCCGAAAAACAAACATAAAATAACATTAAGAACAAAGTTTATAAAGCATCTGATCATACTATAGATTTAGCCACCATTGTTTGAAGTAGAAGACATTTATAACATCTGAAAGTTAATGAACTGTAAGTATACAACTGGTACTAATGACACTGAAATAAAAAATCAATCGCCTGAAGTCTCAGTAGATAAGAACTCTAGCTCACTTCCTATTTCTTCCTTAAATTTACTTAATGTTGATAAGCACATCAGAATCCAAAATGCAAGCAAAAGAAACAAAGACTGCATATTTAGGGAAATGAAAAAAGACATAACTTTCAATCCAAATAAACAGGCAATCAAAGCAAGAGGTACCTGTTGAAGCAATAGCCATACTGATTAGGCGCCAAATTCCCTACCATACCACCAGGATTCATACTCTTCCCAGAAGTTACATTTTCTTGGTCATCTGCCATTAGATCCATTTGAGAAGATTGATGAGGACTATAAGGCACACGCTGATAAGGACCAGTTGCATAAGGAACTGAACCAGCAGTGCTACTGCTGCTGTGACAGGTGCAACTGGACTTGCTGCTAGCTAAGCTTGTTGCAGATGGCGATGGGCTGAGACAAGGGGTTGGTGAAGGAATCCCATTATCAACAGTTGCTTCGCCCCGTTCCCACTGCTTAAAGCAATAGTTACAGACTCTAATCCTCTCCCAATCTTCACGGCCAGTCTTTGGCTCATCTGAAGGTGCAGGAATAAAATTAGCAGTACATTTTGCACAGAAAACTCTTCCACAGATTCGGCAATGATGCCTACGGTTGAATATTGTGAACTGGGAATCACACTCATAGCATACCCTACAGCTCTGGTCGGGCATCCAGAAGTCCCTAGACACATTTGGTGGCTCAGCCCTCCGGGGGATCCAGGATCTAACTACTTCAACAAGCTCAGATATTTTTTTATCAGGGGTGCCCATTGAATCTGACTCCACCCAGCCCTTTCATCATGAGTTAATCATCACCCATTCTTTCTAAAACTCCTTATATCTCGAGCCAAGAAGCTGTTTATATGCAGATGAACCAACAAAAATTACGCTATACTACCACAGAAATTCAAAAGCAAGGGCAACCACCATCGAATGCTAAAAGGGACGCAACCCTGAAAATTAACGAAAGAATAACCGATAAACTAAAGCTAAATTGACAGTAGCATCAGTATTACTATATACAACTTTAGTAGCTCAAAATCTAACGTCCATGCAGAAAATTGTGACGGTATTCGAAATATAACGATTAAAATCATTGAAGGAATGTTGCTATTGCAATTTTATACACAAGCAGCAACTCCAGAATGAGCAGCCCCAACAGCACCATTTGAAACTAAGAAGCTAAAAATAGCTAGGAGCCTGGCGAGTGGTTTCGTGGATTATTCAAACCCCGAACTTCCTTAATTCATCAAACCCCAGATTTAAAGCACCTGAAATTAAAATTGAACAGAAAATATTTATTCGAATACCTGTCGTCTTCCAATCACTACAATTGCCGCAAAGGGCTTTTGAAGATGTAAATATAGGACCAAAGGCCAGGGGCCAGGGGCCAGGGGCCACCGGCCTACCGCCACGGAAAAACCTCCACTCAGTTCAGACAATTCCCAATATGCGAATCTTAGTGAGCTGAGTGCCTCGACTTCTAGCATACTCACAAAGAGAATTCCAAATTTCCTTTGATATCAGATGCCAGAAAGGATCCCATCAACCATAGAAGCAGATAACCGTCATCCGAGTCTCGTCGTCTATTTCCCCTCTCACCAAATTAACCGTAAGCCCAAAGCATGCATGACAAGAGAAGTACTTCAAAGCGTAAACGGGTCAATTCTAATTCCAAATCCCAAGTACCGCAGTCAGATCTCCCACCTCCTCACACCCACGCTTCAATAATAACAAGAAGAATATAATAATTTTGAATGATAAAAAATACGTTTAGCCCTTATAGAAAAATCTCCAGTTGCTTGGCGCCACACCTTATCACGTGACTATCCGACACTGACTACCTCATGTTATCATTATTTTTTATTTGCCAAAAAAACTATTTATGTTTATGTGACTTATGGTTAAAGACTAAAATAATAAATTATTTATAGGTAAGGATTTTTTTTTTTTGCCAACTTATAGGTAAAGATCTTAAATTTTTAAAATTATTTTGCTGAAAAAGAAAACGTAATAACCGAAATGTTTGAGATAGATAACATTACTTAATAGTTACACATGAATAAAAATTTAATAGTCACATTCACGAAAAAAATTGTATATGTCACGTTCACACGAATTGACTTCTCAGAAAATTTTCTACATGGAACCATAATTCTTTTTTGTCTTGATACTGAATTATGTGCGTGATTTGTTAAATTTCATGTGTGTAATTGTTAAGGGAGTAATTATTTGTCTGCTGAACATTTCAATAATTATATATCATAATCTAAAAAAACATTTAATCTTGCATAATAATTTCAAACTATAAATATTTTGTCATTTTAATCTTTATGCATAATTGTCTTTAATCCCACTTAAAGTAAAATGTGGGAAAATGTTCATTGCCACGCATGGGGTACCTGTAAATCAACCATATTCACCGTTTCACGTGGACTTCTGTGATTACCATTAACATCAAAATGGTTTTATTTTTTATATTTTTGTTTCATCTTTTTCCCAATCTTGTCACGAGAAAATAACTTACTTTCACTAAAATCGCATGCCATCATAAATGTTCATTGCGAAATTTCACTTCAGATAGGAGAGAAGGGGAGGAAAGCAAAGCGTGAAAAATAAAAATCATACCTATTTAAGCCCCACCACCAACACCACGACAGCAATAATTTTTTAGAGACAGAATTAAACAGAATGGCATGAAATATAAATCATTATCATATCATTTTGTTTTTTTTTTTAAGATAAGATGATAGTCCAAATAAATAGACATTTTTTCGGGTGAAATCGGTGCATTAATTTTGCAGGGAACAACCCCCCCTCCCTTTTTTTTTGGGACAAGGGGGGCGGCGGGAGACCGGCAAATCGATAAACGGCCCCGTGACTGGAAAGCTATCATTGCCCGTGCCCCGTAACAAAATCAACGCCACAGGATAAATAAGTTAATAAACCTCGGTATTTATAAAATGACAATTTAACCACTACATGAGTTGGACTAGGACGAGAATAAAAGTCCAGGTACCCAAACCTCCTAACTGGGACAAACTAAAAAGGGCTGTATAGATTATTATTCTGTTGATTGTTCCTCTAACAATCAGGAGGGAAAAAGACTGCATACAGTTGCATCGACATCATCAAACCGACTTCTCATTCTTCATCGGTGTCAGAGTTATCTGCCCTTTCACCATGTTTACCGCCAGTGCCGTTTGCAGTTCCATGCTTATTTCTTGTGTCTTGATCATCTTCTTCATCTTCACTATACTTACTCTCATAATCATCATATTCTCCATCCTGGTCCTCCCCATCCTCCAGTGTGCCCTTCATCCGCCACAGCGGCCCCCCGGGGGTGCCAGCCAGAGATCGTTTCAAAATTTTGAGCTTTATATTCGTCCTTCTGTCGCAACCCAACCATGAGTCGCACGAACAATAACAAGTTAGACTATAGTTACCCTCTGATGGGGCCTGGAACTTGCCCATTACCAATCTAGACTCTCCCTTCCCCTTCTCAATAGCCTCTGAAACCGTCCTTCACGTTTGCTCCTGAAACCTCCATTGATTCCTCAATTGCCTTGGATGCAGCAGTAATGGCTGCAGCTTCATCCATAAAACTGAGCCTCTGTGAAAGCGAAACGTTACAGAATTTGGAAGCAAAAACCAGAAGTTTTCCTTCTTGTGAAATGGGTAGCAAGGGGCATGCAGGAGAGCACCAACCAGACCATTACCCCATTTAATATTTACCCACGCATGGATCATAACAATGTCACCCTCTTTTACACCCTCTTGGCCTTCAGTCTCACAAGTTAAGTAAGGCATCATGTCCGGCACTACCTCAATGTCTTGTACTTCAGCGAAGATAACCCAGCTGTATGAATTTGCAGACAGAGCTATTGATTCAAGCTCAGTTGACTCATGAATTTGCAACTTTGTCTCCATCTTTGCAAGACATTGAGGTGGTGCTGGATATGATGCCTTACTTAACTATTAAGGTAACTTGTGAGACTGAAAGTGAAGATGGTATTCAAGAGGGCGACATTGTTATGATCAATACGCACAAACTTTTCCCAAGAAAAACAAGAAAGATTTTCAGTGCCTTATCTTTAAAGAGAAGCAGAAGCCGTTACACCAACAGGCATCAGCATAAGTGAGTCCAAAGTCGAGTTCAGTAATCCAAGATCCACGATAATAGAGAGCAGACAAGTTCAGTTCACGCCTTCTAAAGGGAACAACATTCTAGCCATCTCAGAAATTCGATACTTGAACATCCACCAGGAACTCAAGAAATGATATCGCCAATAAGGAATAATGGAATCTGACGATATGGACAGATTGCTAAGAAGAGGTAATCAGTTTTTCAGCATGCAATAGAGACAAAAAAGTTACATCCAGAGAACAATAGAATTTAAATCTCAGAATAACCCACACAATGAGCCACAGTGAGACTAATCTGTGTCAGGCTAGCAGAAAAAAAGTGCTGGCATTATGGTAATTATCCTTAACTTGAACTTAGATTTATCACCTGAATAATACTTTGAGAAAATTCAACAACACAAATTGCAGGCCTCAGCCATCCATGCCCCTGTGCATTGCGTGGTATAACTGCCATCTTTTACAGAAAATAGAACATAGATGGATTTAATGTTAAATGGAAAGATCAAATGTGAATAAAATAACAGCAACATGCCATTATCACATCCCTCATTTGAGAATGGCCTCAGGCAATAAAAACTTTACACTGATGTCTGATACAAGTTACACAACTTAACATATGAAATGAATTACTCCATCTTTTATTAGAGGCATTATCTTATATTGTAAATGACACATGAGAATTAGGAGTAATAGAAGTAATTAGGAGAATTAGGGATATAATGGTAGTTAAGGTATTTAATTATATTATCTATAAATAGGTATCTAAATTGTAATGGGTCAATGTGAATGAAATGAATTAATCTCTTTCCCTCCCTATCTCTCATCTGCCTCTCCTCTCTCTCCATTTCTCTTCTTCCTCTATCAAGGTATCAAAGCATCCTCTCTAGCCATGGTTCTGCTGGAAAGCCAATCCAACAAACGCATTGGCGCCCTGAAACATCGTTTGAAGATGCAGTTGGCTTTGCTTTAATGCAACCAGCAGACATTAGACCAACGGATTCACAACTTCACTGAGATTAAGCAAACCATGTCTCGCGTTTCTCAACAGATGCACAAAATCTCAACTAAGCTCTCGATACTTACCGACCAGCACTTGCATTCTCTTGTGGTCACTATGGGCACACCATTTAACACACCGCCACGTAACCCTCCACCCACACCTTCAACAATGATAAACTCTGCCTCGACACGGATGTTACTCTTTAGCCTTCAATCATGAGAAAATCAAGGAATAGAATGGCTCCTGAAGCAGAAGAATTTGCAAAGGAAGACAAGAAGGTCAAGGAGAAGACTAATGCTCATAACAACATTGAAGCATACATCCATAACATGAAGAACTAGATTAGTGACAAAGACAAGCTAGCTAACAAATTAGAGACTGGTGAGAAGGAGAAAATTGCGGCAGCAGTGAAACCCTACCCCTTTGCTTCCTCCTCCATTATCGTCCAAAATGCCTACAACGCCAGTCTTCTCTCCAAAACCTACCTTCCGACCCTACTCCAATTCAAATCCTCTACTCCGTTATGGCTATGTCCTTGAAGACTTTAAGACTATCCAATCTATGGTCAAGTCTACCCTTAGGCTCTGTTTGGTTCAAGGGGAGGAGAGGGGAGGGAATGGAGGGGAAGGGAGGCGAGGAGAGAGGAGGTGAGGGAGGGGGAGGGGGCATCCTCCTAAATTGGGAGGGAAGGTTTTGGAGGGGAGGGGAGGGGAAATTTTAAAAAATCTCCCCTCCCCTCTACCTTACCAAACAAGGGGAAGGGAGCAAGGGGAGGGGAAGGGCCTTGCTTGGTAAGGTGGAGGGGAGGGGAGCGAAAATTTCCCTCCCTTCCCTTCCCCACCAACCAAACACTACCTTAACTCATCCTCTTCCAGTATCAACCAAGCCTATGCTTGCAAGGTCTGTATCGAGGTGCTTCGTAGCTCTGACTACAGCTTTAGTTGGACTAATGATGCGCTATCACGTGGCATGATCAAGGACGCTCAAGTGTGGAAGAGCACCATGTTGCTCTACCAGTATGATTGCTAGTTTGCTTTGAAGTACACCAAAGGCACTTACCAGGTCAGCGAGATGATGGCATTCTTGACAAAGCATGACAATTTCTGGGAAGGATCCGAGTCGTTGGGTCTCAAAGGCAGGTTTATGATGTGTAAGGATAGAGGGGATGGGTGCTACAGGACAGTGCATGAAGCCATTAACACTGCTACCGGTAATGCCAACGACAAGATATTCGTGATTCATGTGAAGGAAGGGTTTTGCAAAGTGAACATTGATTTGGATAAAAACACTTGAAGTGTGATGATATTCGATGAAGGCAAGACCAAGACCACCATCTCCAACAACCTAAACTACAATGACGACACACCTACTTTTTTCACTAATGCTTTCGCCATTAAAGAAAAGGAATATGGCTCTATTTTCAAATCAGATAGGTTTATTGCACGAATTCAGTCGGATATAGCTGATGAAAAGATAATGGGTCTTAGGTGTGTGTTTGTGCAATATTTTCTAATTGCCACCTCTATGTGCATCTACGTGAATTTGCTTCAAAGGTCATTTGGTCCAACATTTCTTCCAAGTGTGTTCTAAATATGAACCATGTGCCAACCATTAGACTCATTAAAAATGGGCTTATTAAAGGTGCTATTAGATCTTATGGGGATGAAGTTTGGGCTTCTCAAGTATACATGAGCCCAACAGCCTTGGGATGGACTTGGGGCAAGAAGGTGGAGCTAGGGGCTGTTCTCAAGCTTCAACAATGAGCCTCTCACAAGTTCATGTGGCTTGCCATGATGGGCTTCTGGATTGAAGAAGTACTGCAGCATGTTTGGATTTTGATGTCCATTAATTTTGTTCTCAAATTATTTTATTTTACAAGTTTTAGCATCTTAGGGTCATTAAAAAGAGAGAGAGAAGTCTTATTTTCAATGTTTCCCCACTTTTGTACTGATCCTTGAGGACAAGGATCTCTTGGTGGGGGGAGTATTGATACATGGGAATTAGGAGTGAGAGGAGTAACTAAAGGAATTAGGGATACATCGATAGTTTAGGTATTTAGTTACACTATTTATAAATAGATCTCTAGGTTGTAATGGATCATTGTAAATGAAATGAATTAATCTCTTTTCCTCTCTATTCCTAGTGTGCCTCTCCTCTCTCTCTATTTCTCTTTTTCCTCTATTAGTAAATATCTAAGATTCTCTTGTCTTAGTTCTCTAAAATCATTATTTGCAATTCTGCATCAATCTATCAGAATCAGCATCAGAAAACATTCAGCTCATAAAATTAGTTATCAATCAGATTAGACGAATATAACATGCGGCAAACAATCAATCAAATATTTGCTACAAGTTAACTTGAATTTGTTAATATCAAAACTAAGCATCCAGGAAATCCACTTGGACCAGTTCATTTATTAATTACAATTTGGCACGTGTAAAATTTAACTTTCTTCCATGACTGTATATTCTTCCTGAATTTACACACAGGAAACATATCTAGTCTATAGAAAAAGCTGGGCATAACTGCTCAAGTTTGACGTGTGTCTTTGACTTAACGAAGATATAAAAGAAACCTCCATTTGACACCAGGCACAAGCATGTGCATGCAGAAGATCTTGCTTCACCATGTAACAATTAAGGATATAATGTTTCCACAATTCTTAGTCACAGAACTAAAGGATAATGATCAATGATGAAAGCTCAGATTTAAAGTGAAAAGCATGGTAAATAAAACAAGAGAGCTCTGGGTCTGCTTAAACACTAAAATTGGTTAGCAAAGCCACCTTCATTGACTCTTCAAGAAGGCAAGGTGCCATTTCTAAAATTCACCTGAAATCACCTTGCAAAGATGGAGAAAAAGTTGCAAAATCACAAGTCAACTAAGCTTGAATCAACAGCTCTGTCTGCAAAAGAAAAAATGGCATAGTTGTGAGCACACAAGGAATAAGAATAGGATGCTTTAACTGGTTGGCTTCCAAATAAAGTAATACCTTAACCAGTGCAGGATGCTGCTCCCAAAACTTAGCCTGCTCCTGCTTAATGTTCTTTAGGTCGAGATTCAACTCACTCCTTACCAACATAAAAAGCTTCTGAAGTGGTTCATCCTCAGTCCTATAAACTGGAATTTTCATATATTCAGCAGCCTTTATGAAAATATCCATGACTTTGCTATATAATATAGAAGCCACTAGGAATTTTAAATTTAGCTTTATGACATGAGATCAATGTTGGAATTAAATGGTACCCACCTGGGGGAGCATCTGATTTATTGCCCTGTATAGTATGGCACCCCTAATACAGCCATTTTAACCAGTAATCTATAGGATCTACAAAATAACAAGATAACTAATTATTTACCTCATTCTTCTATTTCCAACAAGAAAATTTTTAAATCCCAAGAATTTTGACATCACTTACATTCTTAAGGCTACATCAAGTGTCTGGGATGAAAGAGGGTATAAAATCTCATTTTGAAATGCATGAAGCCCAATTTTCCTGAATATCACATGGTAACTTTTCTCATTGAACTTCAAATTGAGACAAAAACATGTTAAGCATACAACAATATTCTAAGCTTTTAAACCATGATATTCTTAGGATAATTAAAAGTGTTTAGGTTCTTTACACATCCTAATTGAATTACCATGGAAAGTATGGGTGAGTAAAACCGAATCGAAACAAATTGAATTTGGTATATTTTATTCGGTTTATTCAGTTATACGATTCGACTCAGTTTTCTTTTAATTAAAATTTTGATTGATCAGTTCAATTCAGTCTAAAAATTATTGAACCAAATCAACCAAATTATATTTTTTTTTTCTTTTCAAATTTTTGAAAAGGTGAATAAATTCTTATCTAGGTGAGTAAGAAACATCTTTCTACCACTTACAGCAGCAGTATTTGTTTTTTTTTTTGTTCAACGTGATGTTCTGTTTTTTTTTCTATAATTTAGTTTTTAATGCAATAGTACTGAGTTTTATTAATTTTCCCATAAATGATGGTATAAGATTTATATTTTTTAGTTGGGCCTTCAACATTAACAGGAAAAAATGGATAGAAAAATATATGAACAATTAGACTCCATAGACCCAAATCAAAACCTATGAACCAAATAGACCGATCAAATCAAACCATAATAATTCAGTTCGGTTTTAATTTGGTTTAATTAAGTATTTTGATTCGATTCGATCCAAACTTTTTGTGTAATTCGGTTTTGAAAAAATTGAAACTGAATCAATCGAATGCTGAAAGGGCAGAGATTTTTTTGAAAACACACACGCGCACGCACATAAAAACTCAGCTAGAACAAAGATAAACCATCAATGTCCCTTGTAGCCAAAGAAGGCTTCATAAGATAATAGTAAGTGGGCAGTGTCTGATGACATTACATAGTTTCCGGTATATTTCAATGATCAGCAACAACCAAAGGCAAGAGGACGCAAGCACCAACAATCCAAAGTAGAAGTATTCCATCAGATGACCCATCAATATTTAGCAAGAACTGAGAGAGAAGTATGCCCATTTAAAATCCCTGCAACAAAATTATCATCCATATTTCCAGGACATGGTTACAAGATAATTCTATTCCACCAAGGAAACAAACAATGCAACACACTGGGCATTTCACCCCTACCATCTGATTTCATTACCTGTCTGCCATCAGGATGGCCATATTTTTCATAATTTTCACGTGCTATGGGATCCGTCAAAGCTTGATAAGCATTGGCAATGTACTCTACAAAGTACTCGTGGGCCTTTGAAATAAAAGGAGTATAGTACAAATATCAGGAGTAATAATTACAAAAAGTTGTCTAACATTAAAGTCTGAAACAAGAAGAAACATATATTATACAACTGAAACACCTTCAACCTGGGTCTGGATTTTTATCTGGGTGATACTGTATAGAAAGCGTCTTATACCTTTTTTTTTTTTTTTTTTTATTTCAGACTCCGGGGCTCCAGGCTCTAATCCAATAAGACTAAATGGATGAAAAACTTGAATCTGCAAAAAACAAAGGAAAAAAATAGTGGAGAAATTTCAGGGTGCGCAACGTTTGAACACTCAATCAAAAGCCAAAATGTTATAAGCCAAAGTAATAACCATTAAAATTGTATCATGAAGCAGACCAGAATGAGGCCTCATTCGTCTAGAATCTTAATTGTTTACCTCTCGACTTATATCTTTTATGTAATGAACCAGAACAATCATGACCACCCAGAGCAGCAGTGATGTCAGGTTACTACATGTTGAGACATTTGAAATCTGCAAAAATGAAGGGTAGAGAAAATAAGAGTAACAATGAAAGATGGAGAGATGTCAAGATTACTGTTGAAACCACAAGAAATTATGTAATCATAAAGCATAAATACATAATAAAGCATAAGATATATTTTGACAATGATCCCACCCTCTTAACCATTGATTTTCCGTATTTCCCTGACCGTGAGCACTCAGAACATTGACAGTGGATACTTTTTGATTTATTAGTAGCAGCACGACATAACTTAGTAATTGTGTATGGCACTGTGGCAATGGCCATTATTGTCAATATGAATATTGGGAACAATGCACTGTTCTCCTCTGATGCTGTCATTTTGACCTGAGTTCAACAACTCGTATACAATTATTATGCCTGCAACGAATACTCTTGCTAGAAGGCTGTGTTCTAAATTTGATTTTTATCATCCGCTTGAAAGATCAAAAGCTTTGACATTTAGAGTAGGATAATAACATGAAGAAATACAAGGATTAGAATCATCTGAGGAAAAGGAAGCCGTCACCTCACTCGTCTCAGAACTCGGATAGCAGGAAACGAGCAGAGACTGCCGGGAGCCGAACGCGGTCGGGTCCTCTCCCTGCGGGATTCTAGCCATAATGTAATGAGAATATCCAAGTACCATCGTACCCCTTCGCTCTATCAAAAAAATCTTCCAACCTGCTAGATTAAAGCTAAGCTTGTACCGAGATGGCGAGGGAGACGAGTGATCGGACGACGAAGGTCAGTGGCGCGATGGCCGACGCAGTAGGTCGATACTTTGTCGAACGGCAGAAGAGAGGGGCAGATTGAGCTGTCCAATAAAAGGATGGCATGTGTACTGTAAATATAAATTTATTCTATTATTATTTATGATAATCCGAAGAGAAAGTATAAAAAAAATAGAATTATCCACAGCAATAATATAAAAGATTTTATTTGATTCAATATTTTTGTTAAACGGATTATAAATATCATGATGTATTGAATTCATATAAACAATAAAAAACTTATATACTTATTATTATATACTTAGTGTGTTTTATTTTAATTAAATCAAAATATATGAATTTTTATTCATTATTTATTATATAATAAATTCTTGTTATTGATTATATTAACGCATTAAAATTTAATTATTATTATTTAATTTGATATAAATATATTAAATATATAAAGGTTAATATAAAAGTCTTATTCATGCAAGAATTTTTTGAGTTGGAATGTGCCATCAATGATGATTTGGCAAGGATGATGAGAACATTGGAAGTAAAGTCATCGAAGAGGAGACTAGGGGTGGAAATGAAGAACTAAAATATAGAGCCTATACCTGATAAATTAAAAATTTGAACCTAATTTAAAACTTATATAAAATATTTTTTATAGCTCAAGTCCGAAACTAGCTAATAAGATTACTTAAAAGTTTTAAATAAACTTGTACATTAATTTTAAAAGTCTAAACATTCTTTACAATTACTAAAGTCTATATATGTATATATGGCTTGAATTATAAATTATAATATACATACTCTTTATATTTTAACTGAATTTCACTTTAATAAAATAGTTAATTATCTTTAAATTAACATTATTTTTTTATATTTATGCTCATTTAATAAAGTGTTTTACTTTATAATAAATATAAAGTGGCTAATTTATTATGGGCACTTTCAAAAAAATGCATTTATTATATTTTGAAACGTTAAAAATGTTTTACATTCTTTAATATTTAATTTTTTAAAAAATATCTTATATTTTTTAAAAGGAAGGAGTAATAAGTGTAAGGATTTACCTACTACAATATAATACAATAAAGTAATAATATTAAAATTCATATATAAGTCCAATTTAATTTAAAACATAATTAAAAAAATAAAAAAGAATAGATTAATTAAAAATCAAATGGTAAAATTTATGTGCATGCAGTATATTACACAATAATAATATATAAATAAGCCGACTTGTCAGGTTTGTTGACCGCGCCTTATAAAAATATGTCTAGCCTATTTAACTACATAGGTATAATTAAATTTCCAAACCTGGCCTAATTTATTTATTAAATGGCCTAAGCTAAATATGAAATAGGTTGAGGCATAAGCTTTGGATAGAGGCCCAACCTATTTCCATGCTAAGAGGAGGTTAAAAATTGGGGCAGAAGAAGGTCGATGGACAAGCTGGAGGGAGAAATCAAAAATGGAAGCAAGAATTGGGACGGAGGAGGAAGGACAGGATTGTTCAAAAATTTTATAACTAGAACAATTTGGTCACTCAAAAACTCATTCCAGAAATGGATCTCATTTTTAAACTCATCTTTTCTCCCTCCCAAACCTCCATCCTCCTCCCCTCCAGGCACCTATAAAAAATTTTGATAATATAATTTTTTTTATTTTTATTAAATTTAAAATTAAAAAATTTAAGAGATCTGATCACCAGTCTAAATAGCCAATTTACAAAAATATTTTTTAATATTAAATATAGATTATTAATATTGGTGATCCGATTTATTAAAAAAATTTATAATTTATTATTTTAATAAAAATAAAAATAAAACATTAAATTTAAACTAAGGTTATTTTTAACAAAGATAAATTGATAAATTAATGAATTAACTAAACTAAACATGATTAGGGATTACTAATGGGCTCAACGGAACCAAGGAGGGGTTAAAATTGGGCTTAAAATAGTATTGAAATGCATTAGATTTGGTATGGCATTTGGTCCACCGTACAGCAGATGGCCACGAATTTGAAATAAATCAAATGCGAAAGTGGTGCGAAACCAAAAATAAAAGAGAGAGGAGCAACGGGAGAAGAAGGTGGCTATGTTGGGGCTTCAACATTACATAATATCGAGGCTATTTGGAGCTAAGATTCACTTGGGTTAGTATCCTAACACCCTCTTCTTCCTCTCTATGCGAATCTTAAGCTTGATGTCTAGGTTTGAGTTAATTTTTTTTGCAATGGATGGACTTATGTTTGAAGCCAATGGGTTAAATGGAATTATAGGGGTGTTATTTGAGTTTCAGAACACATTATTAGGGCTTAGAATGATTACTGGGATTGGTTTTGTTATTTCTAGCAAACGCTGGATGAGAATTTAATAAGCTAGAGATTAAATGAGTAATAAATGGGTTTAGCTAGGCTCATGGGTGTCTAATGTACCTAATAAAAATAACGAGTATCAAGATTAATTAACAAGTCTAGTTTTGAGAATTGTGAATGGAATGGGTAGTAAGCAAATTGATGTTTATGCTAGAGAATTAATGTCTTCAACTTGTTTAAATTGTAAACTCTAATAAACTCTTGGGAACAAGTGAAAGCTTGGAGTTTGAAATTGTCTACAGGTGCTTTTTTGATTGACTTGAGAAGTGGAGGTAATTGGAAATCTAAACTCCCCTGTATCCCTGTCCAAGTGTTTTTGGTATTTTTGAAAAGATGAGATTGTATATTTATGAATGAATCTTGTTTGAAATTGTCCACGGATGTCCCTTTAATATTTAATATTGTTAAGGCAGTTATACGGGCACACCGCACAAACTAGTATTATAATCTCACGGATACGTAAACTTGAACGAGAAGAGCGAAGTTCGTTTAGCAGAGGGGACGAATTCTCGCTCGTCCATAGATATTGAAGTAACTTGTTACTGGAGAGTTCACAATGTACATGTACCTTAACAAAAATGTACACATTTAAGATCCCGCAGGATCTCACGTGTATGATGATATAACTAGAAAAACCTGACGAGTAAACCCTGTACTCTATGCTTTGGCCAAAAGAGAACCCTCTAAAGGCCTATTGCCTTGTATATACCAAAATAATAATAATAATAATAATAATAATAATAATAATAATAATAATAATAATAATCTCGTATTTTCTAAATCATGTCTCCATTCTTCGATCGTAAAAATATGACAGGTGCCGCAGGCTTTGTATGACACGATTCCCCCCAGTCTCCATTGTCCCTCCTCTCTTCCATCCTCCAATGTTGAATTCACAGCAGAGAAAACACTCGGAATGTTAGTGGGGCAGAGGGTATCAGAACAGAACCCCATCGACCAATAGATTTTCCACTTATTAGTCCCTCACTTCTCTTTTCTGTAAGGCCTGTGTGGGGTAGAGAAGCATCGTCAATGATAGCGAAAATAACAAACCAACGATCCCACTGAATGGCTGGAATGGATGAGTCCCAATTAACCAAACAGGGAAGTTGCTCCCATAGCTTAAAAATTTGCCCTTTTGCAAGATAAAATTGGACGCCATCATCCCCGTGCGTAGCCCAATTGGGATCAAGAGACTACCTCCATGTCTCTGTCGGGTGCCCGACAGAGACAGCGATAAAAGCCAAAGTCCTAGTATTGCTTGTGGAGACCTGAAAAATCCCCACAAAGATAACAGATATCGTTTGGACTCAAAATTGAACAAACACATAGTTTCAATCCTAATCTTGTTGCAACCAAAGAAGTTAATTAGACATTTTGATACACCTCCCTAAGAGACCTGTGTCTAGTAATACTCAGAATAGAATGCATAAAAAGTAGGATAGACAAAAGATGACTTGATCAAGAAAACAAACCTCTGAAATAAAGAAAAGGCAATCCCAGATATGATAATTCCACGATGATATCCAAGATCAACAGCAATTTCTAGGGGCAGCCAGGACCTGAAAAGTAATTCTTCCACAAGTGCAGTTGCCACTGCCATTACAACCCCTTGAACAACCAGCACAACTATATGTCCTTGCACTTTGAGCCAAGTCATGATATCCAAAGAAGGTGGAATGGGAGGCCAAGAGAAAATTGCATAACCAAGTAATGCGTTTGTACCATGAATTAAAGAAACAATGAGGACCCCACCAATCAAGCCCTTCAAAAAATCAAATAGCTGCAGCAAAGATTCAAAATTAGCTCACGAACTAAGTGCCAGTGAAAAATCATTAAAATCCCCATTATCTCATACGGCCTCCAACCCACAGCCAAAGGACAACCAAAAAAACAAGTTGAAAACAGATGCGCCAAATTGACCTCGAAGTTTATTTTGCAAATCAGAGACAGAAGCAAACAAGTAGCAAGAGCTATTACCGCTTACATACAAAACGCATGCTAAAGTCAATGATAGTGTGAGAGAAGGAAAAGAGTTATAATTGCATGCACGGAAAAGAGGGTTTAATAATTTCTCTAAGCATTATTTCTCGCCATTAATGCCCTTTCTTCTCACTAATCCCAACAATGCTTCACATGCAATTATCAAAGTTTCTCGCAATATCCACCAACAATAAATTTCATTTCACTAAGAGCAAATGAGGAATCACTGTAAGTGTTTCAAACTGGATCATCCTAGTGAGAATTTTCAATCTCTGCAAACAAGAATCACATAACGTGTAAGCACTTACATGCACATTTTTGTTTAAGCCTCTCTAAAGTAGCGTGAAAATCAAAGACGTATGTCAAGATCAATCCACCTCTTTCAATTTCACCAACAGCTTATTTCAGTTACCTCAACATATCAGAGCGATTCATTTCCCCTTTCCAAAGCCAAGGCATTATCAAAACTTGCTTCATGATATTAAAAGAGGTAATGACCTTAAAGGCTGTATAAGAATTTAATGGACTACGAAGAATAATGTGAAAGATATTAATGAAATCATTACCAGGCCTTCTCCACGCAATAACTTTAGAAATTTATAATTTAAATCAATATACTATGACAAAAGATGAAAACATGACATCAACAACTTCAAAGACATAAAAGATATTCTACAATACATTCCAATAAAAGACTTCATATTCTTCTGGATTATATCCCAAATTGGTACCTTTCTCGGTGATCTCAAGTCCAGCCCATATTGCTGTAGTGCATTTTCATACCCACGGATTCTTTTTCCCCATAACACAACAAGTATTGTTGTAGCAGTGTAGAGTCCAATAATGCAAGAAAGCTCAGCAATTCTGGAAGGACTATTTGTTGTCCAGCTTTGAACCAAAGTCGGAAGCAATGGAATGGCAACAGGGGACCATAGAACAAGGACCATTCCAACAAATGCGCAAATCCTAAAGAAGGAAAGAGAGATCTTTGAGAATTAGGATATATAAATTCACAATCACTTGCGTATATGGGGAAAGATACATTGCATGTTTACAAAAGGAATCACTAGAGCTTATAATTCCAATCTCCATATCAGAAGCACAAAAGACAACCAGCAGGATTTCACAGCTGTAACAATTTACTTATTTCCAAATATTTAGGAGTATGCAAAGATAACAATGAATTTACTTCCCTAAATTTCGCTCATATAAGAAGGTGCAAGTAGATAAGAAGGGTTAAGAGAATGTATCAATAGTGCTGCATTGGTGAGAATCATATCAAAGGCAAAAATGGAAGCTAGTGAAGAATAACCAAGAAAAATGAAGAGGATAACTGACTTTCAACAACTAAAAGCATGCTAAAATGTGATTCCATGTAGAGACAAGAAAGTGACATTTGTGTGAGGAAATAAAATCCAGGTTGTGTGTAGCGAGTGAGTGATAAGCAACATGAGTGAAGTGTGAGAGATTGAAGAAAATGAGGTGTAATTGAGAGTTTATCTTGTGCGTAATTCTGAGTACCAAATATAAGTATTTAATAGAAGCTTCCCAGTTGATCTCAAGTTCAACCCCCTCCAGATTGACAATGTAAAACAAGCACGAAAATGTTTCTAAATGTGACAGCACAAGCATAGTTTCCCAGGTATTGAAGACTACTCTCAGCAAAGCCGCTGTACAAAATATCTCCATAAATGGTTAATTTCTTCATATGTGAGCAACCACCATTTCAGATTACCTTTGTAATAAGGGACGATCAGCAATACGCAAGAATGAGATAAGCCGGTCTGTCAAACTCATAGCACCACGTATACCACCCCATAGCAAAGCAAGTTTGCCAACTAGCCTCAGCAAGCCACCCTTTTGTCCTAAATCAGCCAGCATCGCAACCAGTCTTTCCATGCAGTTAAGTTTTTTTTTTTTTTTTGAGCAAAACATGCAGTGAAGTTACTTCAGGTAAGTAGATGAAGAAAATGAAGAAATTTCACTCACAAGATAAAATATTTTCCTGACCTTTCTTGATCCACTTCACCATCATCTTTAGTAGGTACAACTGGACCAGCAACTGACATAGCTTTCTCAGCAAGGCTTGTGACTATACTATTATGGTTTTTCTCAGAGACTGCCTCGTCAAGCTTGTCAGACTTTTTATGATGACTATATTTCATTTTCGATGATGAGGATGACCTTTCAGCAGTTTCATTACCTCTGCATGGATCCTGAAATGGAGCGATAAATTTATAAAATTAAGATGACGCAGTTCAAAGAAGAAAATAATTATAATATTAAAGTAGTAAATGTATATTCATCTCCCCCCTTTGCACCACTTTATTCTCTTTCAACTGTTACATATGAACAATCTAAGTAGATCCAATCAGAACCGAATGAAGTTTTTCTTTCAAGTTTTGATAGTTATTTCACAAAAAGTTTACCCATTTTTTGAGGAGGGGACAAAGGAGCTGAGGCTGCCGCTGAAAGGCAACAATTAAGCACTCAAATTTTAATGGAATAGTATAATGTAGTCAGTGAATATGAAGACATGACAGAAGATCCAGTTGACACAACATCTTTTGATATCAATTTGCTTGAAGGTGTAACTGGACAATATGTGCCTCAGGTGTCATACTTATAGGAAGATGGTTAATGGGTTAAACAAAGTGAGGAGTGAGGACTATAAATATTGTTCTTCAAAAGCATTTATTTCAAACACTTGAAACCTATGTGCATGTGAAGAGATTCAACTTCTACCTGCTCTTGCATAAGTAAAGCGGAAGCCCCAAGAGCAGCCGTAACTGCACCAACCATGATGGAACTTTTGTTTAGATCTTCTGCTTCACTTTTTACCCCATCTCTCTTCACAGAATGATCCAAACTAGGTTTCTCTTCATGTTCTCGAGCTATCTCTGTTTCACTAACATTGTCATAGTTGCTTCTACAAGGTTTTCCACCATCATGATCAATCAGAGATCCTCTCTCGCCACTATCTTGAGCTGTAGCTACATGAAAATATTGCCTCAATGCAGCTAAGCTAGTTCCTACAATAACACCAACAGGCATCACTCCTCTCAAGTAGCTTGTCTCCTGAACAGCAGATGATATTACCTGAATAATGTGCTCCCCATCCAGGGTACCAACTTTTGCATCAGCACCCTCAATATTATGTAATTGAGTTTCTGGATGTGGTAATTGGACCTGACTAAATCTAACAGTTTGTGATATGGCGTCTGCCACATGTTCGAGGTCCCCAACAAGCTTCTGTTTCATTTCTTTCATTTCTTCTGAATTCAGCTTGCGATTAACTTCCATTTTCAAAGAGTTTAATAAGGTCTTTCTCACAATTAGAATCAATTCCTCTGATCTGTCACAACTCGTATCAATTTTTTCGTTCATGTTTTCTTCTATGGCAAACTCTCTTATGGGTTCTTGTTGATTTTCTGAAAGTAATATTACATATGATGGTTCAATACATTGCTCTGTATCGGAAGATTTTGCAGATGCGTGAGCATTCCTCTTGTAGCCCGCATCCTCATCATTAACAGAAGAGATTTCTGTATTTTGTGGTTGTTCCAAGAGCTTCCATTGACCTTCTTCTGGGAAATAGTCAAGTAGCAATGCAGTAGTCATGTCTAAATCAAGTGATTTGGTGGGAGTGTTTGTGATAAGATATTGACTGTAAAGAGGATCCTTGTATGAATTTGCAGCTATGTATTGTGGCATCCTGTTTACTTCTCCATGTCCATCACAGTTATCAAAAAGAACTCTTTTATCATGCCATTGACTACTCTTCTGAGCTACATGGTCATCAGAGTTGCTTTTTTGAGGGATGAAAACACTACTCTCACTACCTGTGCTGAGGCTTTTAGTTAGTTGTTCCTCCATAAAGGTATCATTCTGTGAGTAAATGCCATCATGGTGATCATGTACAGAAGGATCACCTGATGTGCCGGATTCCAAGATTTGGCTATCGCATTTTTGTGTTCCTTGAAACTCATGATCACCATCTTTTCCATCCTTGGCTTCTTTGTTGTCTGAACTCTCCTCAAGCTGAGATATCATATTTTCTATCACACCAAAAACACTATTAACAGCCACTTGGGTGGAATCATCTATCCCTGTCAAGGCATCCAATGCTTGGGAAACGCTGAAGGAAGTGGCACTAGAATCAGAACTCGAAGAGTTAGTTTGATCTGTAACATTCTGCAAATTATTGTTCTCTTTCTTCTCAATGTTATTACTTTCCTTTTCAGTAGTTTGTGGCTCAGAGGATACAGGAGATAAATGAGATTCTTCTTTTGCATTATTTGATGTCATTTTACTTTGACCACTAGAGCAATCTGGAGTTTTCTGCTGCACCTTCTGGGTATTATTTTCCTCCTCTGTGTTTATTTGAGTTTGAGCTGATCTACTGTTTAGGCTTTTTTGCTCATCACCAGCTGCCGCCACCTCTTCATTTTGGCTGGTAGAATGTGACTTAGAATCTGACTCCAATTCTTTTTTGCTGAGTTCAATCTCTGAAGCAACTGCTTCATCTAATTGCTCCTTGTTATCAATATTGCTTCTGGACCCGCTGGTTTCCTTCGCGAAACAACCAGAAGAACCAATTTCATTGTTTGGGTCTTGAGATTGAGTTAGATTAGTAGAATTTTGAGGCTTTTGTGAGGGATGAACCTCTAACTCTGTTCCTCCAGCGGGCTCACCCATGCCACTTAAAGCACCAGCATGGTTATCGACAGAACTAACAGTACCATTCATCTGATTCAAAGAGGATTGGCTCTTTTTCACTGATAGTGAATCAGGAGCCAGAGGAATGCTAATAACCCTATCAAACTTCAAGTCAGTGCCCTGTGCTTTCAAAATACCTGTCACAGCAGCTGTAAGCTTACCACGAACATCTTCTGGCACAGCATCTTGTAAAGCTTTTATAAGTGTCTCTCCTCGATCCATGGCAGTCAAGACCTGGAAATTTTTAATAATTTATATAAATGCCAATAACAAATACTTCTCAATATCAATATTATCATTTAAATAAGTGACCCTGAATAATTTATTCAATGCTATATACAATATAGTAATTCTGAAAATGATTACATCAGCATAAGATTGTACAATTTCAACAGCCTCTTAACAGCCTGCAAGGCACGTACACCATAGTCCATACTCATGACAGATAAAAAGAAACAGCTCGTTGATTTTGAACCCTCTCTTTTGTGGTTTTAGTGGACAGATGAAGAAACTGATTGAAGGTAGAAATGGTAAACAATATCAAATACAGGCATGAAACCATGGCAATAGAAATTTTAAATGCTACCTTATTCTTCTTCTCTTCTGTTAAGGTGCCAGGCACGGTAACATCAAGCATGTTCATCACCAATTTTGCTGTCTGTAGAACTTGACCTCGTTCACTATCTGTTGAACCAATATTCTTCTCTTCAACCACAACTCCAACAGGGGAGGTAATTGGCTGTAATGGACCATTATCTCCTTGCAAACTCATATCCCCAAGCTCAAGGTTCCCTTCTAAACCTTGTTGGTACCTAAAGTGCGAGCTAGCATCAGTGCTACTTCCTTCAAGCATACCCTCTCCAGGGCCAATTGTGTATCCATTATATACATCTGACCGGGAAAGGTCCAAAAATCTACTCCCTTTAGTTTTCTTATCTGATTTTATATCCTCTGCAACAGATAATCCTTTTGATGGATTTATGGTAACATCTATATCTGTCAGAAGAGGATGGCGGCCCTTTAAGAGTCCAATCTCCACAGCAGTAAGCCACTGCAAATACCGTGTATAAGAATACCCCTTGCAAGAATAGAGTGAAAAACTTCACAATAATCTCTAAGCAAAGGGAACAAAAAACCAAGAAATTATCATCTATTTGCACACACATCAGGAGCACTAATGATAAGATTTGGATTGAAGACAAATTCTGATCAGATCAAAAAAAGATTGACAAGTGCTGCCTACACAAGAATTTACACTGACTGAAGCATCAGATTCCTATAATTTGACCAGGGGAGCAATATCATATAGTAAGGATTGAAGGAATAGAATCATTAGTTCATTTGAGCAAAATACCAATGAGCTAAAAGGTGAATGTGGTTCTTCCAACTAGTAAGTTGAGTTTGCCTTGGAGATATGACTACCAATGTTAGGGTAAGAATTCACTCTTTGGTTGATACTTGAAACAAGAGAGAGAAATATCACATAAATAGAATAATAAAATAATGATCCATAAATAGGTCCAGAAAGAAATTTACCTCCATCGTTAAAAGCTGGCACCAATATATAGCAGACCTGTCATTTCCAGTAACACTAGATGGTAAACAAGAACAAAGGAGCAGGCTAGTGAATGGATTTTCAGCAATCTTATTGCGTGGAATTGAAAAAACTGGGACTGTCCCATCATCACTCTGTTAAAATGTTGAAACTGGTAAGGCTCTGGTGGATTTATGCGCATGGAAGATTTAAATCTTAGAGATAACAACAGATAATCATTATGTCATTAATTAATCAAAACAATCTAGTCAGATTTGTGTTAGGCAGAATTGGAATGGAAGTGGGAGGAAGGAGGAGTCAAAATGACGAATACAAATTAGTTGTTCAGTTTGTTTGTATGCCAAGAGTACAACACCAATAATTCATGAGGAAATACCAACTAAGAGAGGTAATCAAGAAATAGAACTAAATTGGTTATCACTTTGAACTAGTGTTTGTATCTTTGTTTACTTTGAAGCTTTTCTGTTATTTATCAAATGCTTCTTTCATCAAAGCAATTTCAATCTCCGAAGTTCTCACATGTGCTTCACCAGCTACACCTTTGCTAATGAATATTTTATCTAATTTTTATGAGATTATTTAAACACCTTAACTCTCCTTCTCTGCCCCTTCTCACATATATTTAGATCAAACCATGATCATTCTCTTTTATTCAATTTCTCATAATTACTTAGCCTTTCCACCTCCCTGGATTACGATGAAAATGTTGAAGGATCCAATTCCTTAAGAACATAACCTATGATGAATTTACAAGTAAATGCAGGTCCTGTCTACTGAACAAAACAGATGCAGACTAAGTGAGATATCCCATAAAATAACTCATCATTACCTGTATAAATAGAACAGGAATTTTGATTTTTCCAATCACATTTCTCGTGCCAGATTTTGAATAAAAATCTTTAATAGCCCCAAATCCATGAGATACCATAGATATTGCTTTCTCAAAATCACGAACAGTCTTTGCCAATAAAGCATTTTCCACATCAAAACCTTTTGTTTTGCCTTGGAACAGTTCCTACATGGTCAATAAGTATTTGGTGATTTATAATCCTTTGAGTTATAAAATATTTGAAGTATGATAAATCAAATTCATCCTTCAGAAAATCAGATTGCATGGAGCATCTCATCAAAAGGCCAGATGAAAAAAAAGAAGAAGAAAAGAGGGTGAAGGTAGCAATTAAATCACCTTGTTGGTTCGCAGAATATCTATCAGTCCTCCAGTGAGTTTCTGATCAGTGGCAATGTGATAAGGTGTGGACTTTGTAGCTTCCTCTAAATCAAAAGGATTGTCGATGCATGTTGCAGCTGTCAATGGTGTTCTCTCCCCAACCTCTGCCAAGTATTTCGTCAACATATTTGCACCATATCCCCATCCAACACCCATCAATGTCGTCCATGGTCTTGCTGCATTAATATACTTGATAGCTGTGCAGATATCATCACTGTCACCAGCTGTAAATAACCTACAAAAAACATAGTTAAGAAGTCTCTAACGTCTTCTGTCTAACCATAAGACTCTTGAGGAAAGGAGGATTCACAATCCAAATTGCCAACTTCCCAGGAATGAAATAAGAAAGAGGACGCAAGGAGGAAGGAAGAGACGCACATATTTTTGCTTGGTTGGACAAATGTGACAGGTCAGATTCAGAAGAAAGAGCAGTAATTTCCTGCCCTCAAGTCACCATCTTCATCCCTCACCATCTTCATCCCTAGAGAGTACTAATATGGTATTATCTTTTCCCTATAACATCATTTTCCTATCTCTCATTCAAGCTTCCTTTGTTTTGAGTCAAAATGAATAAATAAATAAAATTTCCATGGTCACCTCTAAGCAACACGTTTTGATGTTTTCCGTTGTACTCTCAAGCATCTTCTTATTTATATCCTTTATATATATCAAAACGTTGGAGCAACATTCATGTCATCGAGCACCAAAATTGATCACCTCGTAACCGACCAATTACAGCATCAATCTCAAATTTGTTGTAGTCTAAATCAAAAGGAGAGAGTTACCGGGCAGTAGTGAGAGGTGAACCAGCAGATCCTCTTGGATTCATCACAACAGGGAAAAAACCCCTCTTGAGAGCTTCAAGTACTACTGACTTAATGTTTCTGTCCATGCTCCCTTCAGGCGTGCCAGGAACTAGCAACAAAGTAGAATCCAAGCCACGCTCCTCTTCCAAGGCCAAATTGGCCGGCCAATCCAACGAAATAACACCTCCATCTTCGGTGGTGACGCATACTCTTTGATAAGTCAAGTTACCATCCTCCAAAACGGTCTTTTCATCATCGTGGCTCCTCAATTGAATCTTGCCACCGTTAACCATCACATAATGCCTTTCCTCCTTCACGAGCTTCTCGTTCACATCCTCCAAGAACTTACTTCCTCGAAACGATATCGACGGGCATCGCAGCAAGACAAAACGGTTAAAAGGCGTCGGACTAGTGAACAAGATCCATTCCCCGATATCCAAAACCGAAGAATTCTTGTGTGATTTGAATCGCGACCAAAATAGAGCGACCCCAGAAGCGAAACCAAGCGCTGGAGCGAACAAATCCAAGGTATGGACAGAAGGACACTGGGTGATTAAGCTGTGGAATAAATTATGGAATGGCGCCGGTATCAAAGAGCCCGAATGATTCCTGACGGCAAGTCTCCAGTTGGATTTAAGCCTTCGGCGTCTGTGAATGCGAAATTTCCGAGGTTGAGAGGGTTCAATTGGAAAGAAAGGAAGCTCAGGAGGATGGATATTGGGAGTGGAAGTGGAAGTGATGTTCATAGTGATGATAAAAGTGGCGGCAGTAAGATGGCTTAAGTAGGAGAAAGATTGAGTTTTTTGCACAAAAAGGAATTGAATACGGATGAGGTTGAACGGAAGAAGGTGCATGAAACATCAGGAGTGGCGGTGAGGTTTCTGAATTCTCAGGCACAGGCTTCCCCGCCACGTAAAGTTATGGTCGTTGGAAGGGCTTAACTCAACGGTCTATATCCAATTGTCTGTTAGGGAGTCATTTGAACGCGCTGGACGAGGATTACTGGAGCATTTCCTTCATATATACACTCCCTCGTGTGCTATTTGTAAGGGGAAGAGGTGTCTTACATTCCCCTTCCTTTCATTTCCCTCACTTTTAGATTAAAATTTTAACAGTTTAAATTTAATTTTTAATAAAATTATTATTTTAATTTTATATAAGATATATAAATAAAATAAATAATTATAACCTATAATATATTTTATATATTTTTACGTAAAATTGAAGTAATAATTTTATTAAAAGTTAAATCTAAATCATTGAAAAATTTTAATCCAAAGATGTTGAGAGAAAAATGGAGGGAAGGAAAGTGAAGTGAAATAGGATTACCTCTAAAAGTAATTTTTTATTTTAAATATAGATATTCTATAATATTTAAATTATTTTTAAAGTTTATACTTTTTGATTAACCTAAAAATATTTAATAAATTGAATCATGACTTAAAGTTAAAAATAAAAATAAAAATGCATCTCATGTTTTATAATATATAAAAAACTAATCTTTCTTAAAATAAGTGAAATAAAACAGTTGAAAATGTCTTAAAATAAAAACCAAAAGAATTATATATAGTTAGTTAATTTTGGAATATAATATATATATACACACACACACAAATAGTTAAGTGTAAGTTTTGAATGATCATTGGTAGATGAAGAAGAAGGATGATCATTCAGGCCAAAAAAAAAGATCGCCATTGGTCAGTAATTCCCAATTTGTAAACTCGCTAATCGCTTGACAGAACCACTTTCATAGAACTCCTCCATCCAGCCTCCAGTCTTCTCATCCTTTGACTCCGTATTTTAAAGTGTTAATTATAAAATACACCCTTTAATCACATTTTAAAAGAAATTATTTAATTTCATTTATAAGTTTATATATAATTTTTTTAAGTAATATTCAAAAAATATTTTTATAATCACTTCTCATAAGAAAAAAAAAAACATGATATTATCTTTTAAATTTATTATATAGAAGCGTATTTGAAATTCTACACAATTTCTATTCCTCATTTTTTTGCATTGGTAATGATAAAATTAATAAAAATGACTTATAAAAAAGACTAAAAGAGTACATGTTTTAAAATGTTTTTATTTATATTGTTTTCTATTAAGTGAAATTTGGAAAAATAAATTATGTATACAAAAGTTATTTTATAATATCATAGTTTTTTATCATAAAATGATTATATATCTACGAGTAGGGCTGTGCAAAAGTCTCCCAGTCCTGTCTGGTCCAGTCCAACCCGAGATGGTCTCAGTCTTGTTCGGTCTGTATAGTCACTGGTCCTTCAGGACCAAAAGAACTAAAAAGACCAGACTATTTTTTCGGGTTGGACTGGACAAGAGACCAGGCATCCGGACCACTTGGTCCAGTCCAGTCCTATTAATTTTTTTTATTATAATTATAATTAATTTATTTTTGACAAATGTTTAAAGTGTAATTGATGCTAAGGAGATGATTGCATAAAGATTTATTAAGTTTGTTTCTAAATTGTTATTGTAATATAGTGTTGTTGAATTTTTTGAGTACTGTTTTTATTAAAGTTTATAAATTTAAATAATTTAGACTATAACAAAAATATTTTTTTTTCTTATTGTTAGAAATTATTATGGATTTATTATTATTATAAGTATTTTTACTATCTTAATTGAGTTTATTATGTTGGAATGGATTATTGCCTCTCATAGAATAAAAAGAGGGAAAAAAAGCTAAGTGAGTACTGGACTGACAGGACCAGTCTCCCAGTCCTATGGACCAAGTCCGGTCCTGTTAATCTTCGGGTTATTACTGGACAAGACTGGACTACGGGTTGCCTAACCCAGTCTTTTTCATGAAAGAGACCGGACTTCGGGTTAGGGTGAAGTCCAGTGCCGTCCAGTCTTTTGTGCAGCCCTATCTACGAGTATTCAAAGTGTTATTTTTCATAAATTACATATCTAATAAATACATGGCTTTTCAAATATATGACATAATGACTTATATATTTATTCTCATACATACTAACACTTGAACTAATCACTTTATTCATATCATGTCATTAAAGATTATCTCAAATGAAGATAATAGTGAGCATGAAGAAGTGAAAACCAAAATTATTATTAACATGTTGCACTCAAATATTAAACAAAAAATAGAACGTGTAGATTGCAGCATATTACAACAAAAATTCAGAAACACATGATTTCAAGAAATAATCTCATAGACCTACAATGCATCAACAAATTGATATTCAAAGACAAAGAAACAAACAAAAAAGATGAAAAGAAAATTAAAAAACAAAAGCATTGGTTAAGAAAAAACAAGGGTAGAATACGGAAACTCCAGTTCTTCCACTCTTAACAACAACGAGATGAGTAGAGAGAGATCTGTGCAACAGCAAAGTTTGAAGGGCATATTTGAAGCAACGGCAAAGTTTTTGTGAGCACATCCAAGACATCATCATCGCAAAGACAGCGACGGTCAAGGTGAAAGAGAAAAAGAAGAGGCAAGGAGATGACATTGATGGATGGAGCCAGTGCGTTTAAGCTGAGAGATGATCGAGGGTCCACGGAGCTTCGAGGAGAAATCAATGGTAAAAGATCTTGAGAGATGGTGAGGAATGGAGAACACAAAGAGATTGTCAGATTAAGAGCATTGTCAATGTGTTTATTAGAATGAAAGAGAGAAAAAGACCTCAAGAAGCAAAGAGTGGAAAAGTGATATTGTGAAATTCAACAGAAATAAACAAGAGAGGTGATGGGGTGTAAGTGAGAGACTGTTGACTATGATGTTAAAATCGTGCTTCTTGTTAAATTGTGGTTGAAATGATCCAATGGCTACAACATAATGATCAGCGTGCCACCACTTTACAATCATTGTCAAATCTTTGAAATATTGTTAGTAAAAGAAACATCAAATCTTTAGATTATGCTAAATAACACAATTTACGTTGAGATTTGTTAAACTCATGAGTTTAAAATTTTATCATTTTATGTTGATAAATTTTCACTTTTTGAGTTTAAAAATTAACGGCTAATTTTTGAATGATTCATCATTGCATATTATATATAGAGTAGTAAATTTTGAAATAAAAAGTATGTAGAATTTTATATATATATAGGTGATGACGAATTATCAAATACCTTCTAATTTTAGACTTAGAATAAAATAATTTATTTTTTAAAACGTTTTTTATATGTTTATGGTAATAATTTTTAAAATTAATTACAATATTGAAAAACTGTTTATACTTTTTAATATGCATAAATGCAACCAATTGTAAAAATATTAAAATATCCAAGTAATTTCTATATTTTTACAACCAATTATAAAAATATAAAGCATATTAAAGAAAAGTTGTTCCCTGTATTTTGTATGTGTGTGTGTGTATATGATAATAAATTATATAATAAAATGCAAAACTAAAAATAAATTATAAAATAATATCTGATTCATCATATTACACGTCTTACCTTTCTTTAGTGATGCATGGGCAAAAAATTTACGTCATATCAATTATAAAAACAAGCACAAATGTGGAGGATTAGCAAATTTGTCTATCAGGCTATTATTTATTTTCTAATACATGCATTGGCAAAATAAATTACAAATATACTGAGTGCATCAAAATAAAGAAATTAAAACTTTTATATTTTATTTTTAACTTTTAAATATTAAAATATTCTCATGCATTGTACGGAAAATAAGTTATTGATCATCCCATTGTAGATCTATAGTGAGATGAACATTGACTTACTTTTTAATTTTTTTTATACTTTTATAGATTATTATGTAGAGCTTATAGTGAAAAAATAATAGTAAATTTAAGGCCTATAATAAAAATATTAAGTGTGAGGTCATATTATTTGGTACTTATATATATTTTATGTGTGTAAAATAATAATGTAAAAAGTGTTTGTTCCACCATAAATATATAGTGGGATGGACGGTAATTTTTTTAATTTTTAAAAACTTGTGGATTTTAAAGGATCATATGGCATTTGTAATAAAAATATGTGTAAGACTTGCTTATCAAAAAAAAAAAAAGAAATATGTGCAAGACTTGTTATGTAAAATTAATTTAAATATGTTATGTTAAAAATGATTGGTGTTGGATCTATAATTTGTAAGCTGTATTTTTATATGAATATAATAATAAATTGTATAATAAAATACATAGTTAAATAAAAATGATAAGTTTATTTAAATTTTAATTTATGTGGGAATACATGAAACAACGATTTGTAAACAAAATAATTTGTTTCTTTTTTTCATACATATAAGATAATAAATTATAAAATATAATTTTTTATTATTTAATATAAATTTATGTAAAGATAATACATACTAGATTAAAATTATTTTTTATATTTTTAATATACACAAGGTAACTATTTTTTTATATATAGATTTTTAATATGCATGGAATATACTCCATTTGTTTAAAAATATAAAACATTTTTTGATAAGTTGAATGTTAAAAATATAAGACATTTTTATTTTTTTAAGGTACAATTATTACCTTTTTCATTCAAAAGTATCTACATTGAATAAATCACTAGATTTTTTTTATGGTGTGAATAAAAGTAAATATAAAAAATAGGATTAATTAAAAAATAAATAACTACTTTATTGAGAAGTGAAATTTGATTAAAATCTCTTATATTTTTTAACACAAAGAGTTAGTATAAAAATGATTTATATACATTGTTATGATATAAATTATAGTATTTTTTATTTTTTAGGGCGACGAATGGGTCAACACATTCTAAAAGAGATTAAGTTAATTTTATTTTAATTATGCATGAGAGTAATTGTTAACTTCTAGAATTTTTTGTTATTTGAGCACGTTTTCTTTGGATTTTCAATATATTTTGGTACAATTGTATATATTTTAAATATTCAAGTTAGAAAAATGTGCATATTATTTTAAAAATCCAAATCATGAGTTTATTTTAGTATTTTGAAGCTAGTTTATTAATATTTTAATTTAAGGTTTGGTTAGATGCATTTATAGGCTTTTGTTGATGCTTTTGAAAGATTTTTAGATAAAGAAATCAAGTGCACAGAAGACTAAGTTTCGTTAACAACAAAAATAATGTAAAATAGCCAAAGTCATCCCAAATTATGTCACGACAACAAAACAAAACATTTTATTTAGTTAATAAAGTTAGGATTTTGGAGTACATATAACCCATTTTTTACTTTGGTTGCCATTATAAACTTCTTGGGAGTATTTAGAAGCTTTAGATGTGCTAGGGTATAAATTTTGGTAGAGATTGAGCTTAAGTTTGAAGATTGAAAGAGATTTTAGTTTCATATTTTGGTTCTTCTTCTCCACTTTCCTTAATTTTCTCTTGTTTAGTATTTGTGCTAATATATTTGTATTTTCTATTGGATTTTGTGAACATTTGTAGTTAAACTCTTGATTTTAGGATTATTTTGAACCCTTTGTATGAATTAAGCATTCATTTCCTTTTTATATTTGTGATTAATAATGTGATTATTTTAGTTTTACTTCATACTCAGTGTTTCTAGTTGATTGGCTATAAATTAAATTGTTAGATTCACTTGATTAATGTTTGAGAGAGTTAGGTTAAGAGAAAAACTTGAGTTAAATTGTGTGAGAATTTAAAGTCTGTAAGTTGAGTGGATATTTTTGTTAATAAAGTAAAGATATACTCATTAACCTCACATATTCATATATAATTTGTAAGAAAAATTAGATTTTAATTAGTTAATTAAGAGATTAAAATAGTAATTAAACTAAACACCTATTTGGAGACTTGATAGAACACTTGTGGGTAATTTAGTATCATTGACTAACATAATTCATCAATAACAGCTAAATATATTGGGGACTGGTTGTGTATTCTTAAAGTATAAAAGGGGTATAAATAATCATAGGCCTAATTACTTTTAAAAAGCTTGAATTACCCTCTTTACTTTATTTTTTAGTGTTAATCTAATTTACAAAATCATCCTCACCTAATCATATTTTGCTCAACTTGATTCAATTTGTTTAATCTTTTATTTGATCACTATTTTTAAATAAATCTATAAAAAAATGATACTTTATTTTTATTATATTATTTACCATGACCCGTGCATTTATAATGAGCAACAATAATACATAATAAATGAGGAATTATTACTTAGATTTTAATTTGTAAGACCAACAAATGATGGATCTCATAATATTTATTGAGATAGAAATTATATTCTCTAATTAATTTTATAGGGACTGGTCAAAAAAATTAATTACACAGGGAATAATTTAATAGTAAAATTATTCTTTTAGTTAATTTCAAAATTTTTCTCGTATTAATTAAAAGAAAAATACAAATATAGAAGACTAGCATATTCATCCAAAAAATGATAAACTTAAAATAAAACAAGTTAATATTTATGTACATTCAAAATAAAATTTAAGGTAAGATAAGTTGTTATTTAGATTCAATTTAAATAAATAATAAAATTTAATTATAAGTAAAATCAAATAAATTATTTTTAATTTTAAATATTAAGATGTACGGAAAATAAATCTAGCTGATTATAAAAATGAATTGTACTTTTTTACTTTGAAAGATAATTGCATAAAAAATTATAAAATACACTAAAATATATTTCACTGTAACCATACGTACACATATTTTCTTCTGAAATTGTCACTACTAAACTTTTAAAATTAATTAAAATAATTTTATTAATGAAATTGGATCGCTTGCTTGTAGAATATATATATATATATATATTTATATACTCAAGTAGCATTTATTTCTTTATTTCTAAAATTGAATTTTAAAAACAATTTTAGGGTATTTATAATTCAAATTCATTTAATTAAATTATACCCAATCTAGAGGGAAATCGTTTGACTAAATTTTTTTGATAAATGTCATGTCCCTAGCAAGTGAATCAAATTTATTTTCATTTTTAAAAATTTGACAAACCTGATTTTCTTCCTTCCCCCTAATGGCATATTGGCAATTAATTGTTGCGCTCCCTTGGAGCGGCGATGTCGTCCCTGGTTCTAAACTTCTAGCGGCACTGCTGGCCGCACTTGTGGCGTACGGGAATTCCCCTCAAGTTGTCTTCCTCCGTCACTCTGACTCTCGCTGAGATATCAGAGAGGTAGCGAACGCGATTGAAGTTTTGTGGCTTCATTCAAATTTGGAAACTTCTCTTCGACCGCCAAACACAAGCAAAACCCCCAACGGGTTTCACACTCTTTTTGCTCTCAAAGCTATCATATATTATTTGCACAAAACCTCTGTAAAACCCCTGTTCTGTTTTTGTTTCTTAGTGATTGACCCAAAAACCATTTACAGTCATGGATGAAGGGCAAGGGGTTCTGAACTTCTCGGCAAAAGTTTCACATGAAGCTAAACTCAAAGAACTGTTGCATAGACTCACTTCGGTTGAGATTAAATTGTGCTCGGATGCTACGAAGGAATTTGTCAAGGTATTAAAAGGTGATGATGGTGGGGAACTGCTTCGTCAGTATGTTCGGGCTTCTCCCAGGTGCTCTGAACTTTTGGATGCATTGAAGCTTAGGCAAGGGAAGGAGGGAATGTCATACATTTTTGAATTAATTGCTAATTTGTTGAGTCATCACGAGGGTAAATATAAATCAAATGATGCCGAGTTAGTTGCTATCAGTAGGGATCTTGATAAGTTTGCTCGATCACTTGTTACAGAAAATCTTGGTGATGTTTACAAGGAACTGAATAGTAAAGAAGCTAAGCGCCAAAAGGCTGCTCTCTTGCTGATGGCTTCAATTGTTCGCCGAGGGCCAAGTTTGGCTTCCGAGGTCTCGAAATGTTTTGATTTCAAACTTGCTGGGTTTACCAAGCTTGCAGAGCAAAAATGGAAAGAAAATGAGAAACTGATTAAGAATTCACTCAGGAAATCGTTTGTTGGATTTGCAATGTCGTTTTTAGAGGTTGGAAAGCCTGGATTGTTGAGGTGGGTTCTACAGCAAAAGGAAATGTATTCTGGGGTTCTTCGTGGGCTAGGAAATGATGATGATGAGACTGTCATTTATGTATTGTCGACATTACGGGATAGAGTTCTTGTTGAAGAGGCATTGGTATCACCAGCTCTTCGGAGTGTTCTATTTGGAAATGTGACATTGGAGCAATTGATTAACATTTGTGGAAGGGACGGTGGTGGACCCACTGCAGAGCTAGCATATAATCTTCTAGTTCTGGTTTGTACGGATCCATGTAATGGATTAATGCCTGACTTGACAAAGCGTCCAATTCCATTGAGGGGCAATACTAAGAGAATTATGGGGCTTATGAAAAAACTAAATGCTACTGAAATTCAATATCACAGAGATTTGCTGTTGGCCATTGTCAATAGCCAACCTTCTTTTGGTTTGTCTTATTTGGAAGAGTTTCCTTACAACCTTGAAGATTATATGTCACCTTCTTGGTCAGAATTTATTTATACGGATTTTTATTTATTTTATCTTCGTTAGATATATGTGTTTTCTCATTCATCTGTTTATATATTATGATAGACGTGTTTGCAGGTTTGCTGCAGTGTCTTTAGCTGCTAGCTTGGTTTCCTTGATTGTCAATGGCCCTTCTAGGGAATTCATCAATTCTCAATTAAATGATCTAAACATGTTTGGCAATATGGATGTGCAAAGGGTCATGAAATGCATGTTTCCTCGTCCATTCAGCCGGTCAATGATTAATAAGGGATTACTTCACACTGATTTTCTGGTGAAACATGGTACTCTAAGACTTCTTTTGGAGTTACTCAAGTTTTTGGACTCTCTAATTAGTGCATCGAACTGTAGGTCTTCTTCCACCAATCAATCAATGCAACCTATTATACCTTTCAAGCAAGAAATACAGAATGATGTTCAAGCATTGCTTCCTGATCCACAAGTTTTATTAAATTTACTTTCGTCTTTAGATAGGTGCTCCAAAACACACGACTCATGCTTGAAAAGAACTGGAAGCCATCTTAAACATCACAGCAGAAGGATCAAAAAGCTAAAAATGGACACTGCTGAGAGGGACATAGCTATAGTTGTGGGTGGGATAAGTTCTGTTTCTGATGTTCCTTTATCTGTCAATGGGGAAGGTGTCTCTGATGCACCAAGAGCTGATGTATTAGATGATGAAGAGGATCTTATCAGAATAGTGAGGAAAATCTGGGGCCTGGAAATGTGTTCCTTGATAATTACCACACCAAAGGAAGTGGCGAATTACTTGCACTCTAAACTGCTTGATGCTCTCAAATACTTTCACGTATGTATAGTTTTCTGGAAGTTTTTTTGGTTATACCTTGGCAGACTGAATATTGTCATGTATATCTTGTAAATATTATATAAGGAGAAACTTTAGGTACAAGTTTTAGGTTTTTAAATTACGTACAGTTTTTAGGTATTTGCTATTTTTCCTCTCAATACAAACATGATAAATAGATGCCTTTTACAGCTCAACATTATAAGATTTAATCTTTCTAAAAATGTTTCCTCCACAAGTCATGCTTATGAAGAATTTCCCCAAAAACACCGAAGAAACTTTGTAGAAGTTTGGTTCTTCGTCTAATGTAGCATAGGCGTTATGGATGATTGTTCTGATTGTTGAGGATTGTGGTTGGTGTCTTGAACATCAGATTGCTGGATCTTCCGTTGACAAAAAAGTTGCTATGCTAAATCACCTATTACTCAAAGATTTAAGTTGTTTATTTTGGATATTGCCTTATTTTCTGCAGTGGAGTTATTTCCATTTTTTTTTATAAACTTGCAATTAACATTTTCTGGCGAATATTGCTTTGTTCATCCACTTTTCCTTTTTTAGTCAGTTGTGTTGAATTAATAATTTCTTTTGTTTTGGCTTTAACATGAAAATCTGCTAAACTTAACTAGCATCTGCAGCTACTGGAATGTCAAATGTTATCATTGAACTTCTTATGTATTATTCCTCCCGTTAAAAAATGTAAGGTATTTTTAATTGACTCTCATCTTTCAATAAAGTAGTTATTTATTTTTAAATTAACCCTATCTTTCCATATTTATTCCTATTTAATAGGGTGTTTGACTCTAAAATAAATATAAAATGATTTATTCAATTGGGGCATTTTTGAAAAAAAAAAGTAATGATTTCACCTTGAAAGACTAAAAATGTTTTACATTTTTTAACATTCAATTCCTTAAAAAATATCTTACATTTTTTAACGGAGGGAGTAATTCTGAATAATAGATATTTGAATTTGAGTGATGGAGTTTACATTTGACTTAATTTTATGTTGTAAAAAAAATCATTCAATGGCATTTTGAAACTTTTTTATGTTATGTATTGTTTACCATGTTATGTAATTATTTTAAATAATCTCAATCTGTTTAAATCCTAATTAATTTTTAATTCTTTTCTTGTTTATAATAATTACATAGCGTACTATGCATATTAGTTTAATATACGTTCAATATTGCTTCCTGATCCCTAGTCAATAGAAGTGTGCTTCTAACACAGCGTCTGATTTCTTTCTATGTTGTAGTGCGGCCATTATCTTATGGAATAAGTTTTGTGGTATTGTTGGTCAGACTTGGGTGTGCCCTGCAAACTTCAAACATTTTCTTTTAATTAGCGTGGTTAGAACTGAATTCACGTGTCTTCAAGGGGATCTTAGTGCTTCTAGATTTTTCATGGGATAGGTCTTTTTTTGTGGTCTTCCAATGGTGCTGAAATTATTTTATTTTGGAGGCAGTGTCTTTGTTAGATATACATTTGGATTGGCCAGCCTCATTACACTTAATTTCTTGGTTTTAAGGAGGATGCTTTGCCCTTGGATGATGCATCCATACTTTCCTTTCTGATATTTTCATTTGTCAGCAGAAGGGGGAAAATGAAAAAAGAAAACACAAAGTTACCATTAAATGGCATCTTATGATTAACATAAATTTGCTGCTTAAAATTAGTAGTGTATTTGTACAAACTTGAATTTTTTTTTTTATTTGAGCCTAAGGGTGTCAACTAAGTAATCATGCTTTTAGAGTTCAGTCTAGCCCACAACTTTAGGTTGACAGTCTCATTCTAGAAATGGGCCCCTTATCTTTTGATGGAATGGTGGGTCACAATCTTCTTGTGTCATCTGATTAGAAAATAAAGTATGCTGGAACGCTTGGTTTTCTTGAATATCAAATTTATTGGAATAAATTTTTCTGAATTATTGGGTTAATGTGCATATGATGATGAAATTATCTCATAATTTTTCATTTGCCTCATGCAGCGCATTGTGCCTCATGCATTGGGTGGATCATTTGAATTTTTTATTGGTCTTCTCAGCAACCCATTGGAGTTGCCAGTTGATCTACAGGTCTCACTATTGTCTTTGCTCATGGAATATATTGAATGGCATCCAAATAATGAAATTCCCTTGAGAACTCCACCGATTCTGTACAAACACCTACAGTCTTTCATCAAACTGTTGATATTTTCAACAGTTAACAGTGTTAGGCATCAGGCTTATAGATTGGCAAAGGCAGCTATTTTCAGTACTGGTGCTTTTGACAGGAACCTTCATGAGATTGAAGCATGGCTTTTGTTTTTACCAGGTCATCAAAGAAATAAATCCTCTGCCAATAGCTTGGAGGTGGAAGCGTTACATAGTTTGTGTTCGATTGTCATTTCATTCTTGTGTGATGCTGTTTCTACGGTTGGGAATAATTTAGTCAAATATTGGGATCTCCTTAAGAGTTATGTTCACAGTTTGGAAGGCGTTGGAGGTAATTAGTTCTGTAAATTCACTGTATTCACCTTGTTTACGGGTAATTCTGTCATATGATTTTCCTTTTCCTTGCTGTCTCTCAGCATCTGGGTGTTAATTATTGATTATGGATGTGGCATGATAAATTTCAAATGATCAGTCCGTTTGAAGAACCCTTTTGCTTTAGTCTGTGGTAAATATTTTGTAAAAGCTTATCATGGTATTTAGTAGTGATACTTTATGTTCTCTCTAAATTCATTATTTTTGCCTTGTCCACACGTCACTTCTTTCCTTAATTCCAAAAAAAAAGTTGCTCTTTCATTGAACCGGAAATGTAGTCTAGGAAAAATTAATCATTTGATCTTTGTAAATTTTACTCAATTGTAACTCAACCCTTCAATTTTAACTTGTTGTAACTCAGTCTTTAAAGTTTTGATTTGGTTGTCGCTCAATTCCTAAACTTTGACTTGGTTCAATTCAGTCTCTCTATTTTTAACCATTTAAGATATTAGTCTCTATATTTTAGAAAATAAAATTATAAAGATTAAATCTGTATAATATTTGTCAATTAGTAATTTAAAATTAGTCTTTAAATGTCAACATAATTTTAATTTTCAGAATTTTATTTTCAATATGTAAGGACCAATATTTTAAATGGTTAAAACTATAAGGATTAAGTTGCAGCGAATCAAAATTCAATGATTGAGTTACAATTGAATCAAAACTTTAAGTATTAAGCTACAATGAGTCACAGTTTAGGGACTGAGTGACAACTGAATCAAAGTTACAAAGATGAAATGATTAATTTTCCCATTATTCCAATTTTTTACATATTTATATTACTTTAACATTTACACATTATTTAGTTTTAATTTTTTTATAACACTGTGATATTATATTGGGTTAAAGGTCATTTTTGTTTTTGAATTGCACACGAAAGGTTACAAATATCCCTAAACTTAACATGGGTCAATTCTACCCTTCAACTTTAAAGATTTCCTTTGCTATCACTTGGACGTTAAATACACTTCACGTCCATAAGTCATCAGTGAGTCCTATTATTTTTTTAATATTTTTTATCAGGTTAAGGGTCATTTTTTCCCTTCAACTCAAATATTTTATAATAAAACATGTTAAAAATATATAATGTGGGGCCCATTAATGGTGAGGAAATGGTAAAGTGATGTTATTTTTTATATCTTGAATATCAACTAATGGAATATTGTATTCAATGTCCTTATTTTTATTAAAATAATATGCTATATTTGGTGTTCATTATTATATAACCAGTGCATTTATTTTATTATTGGTTATGAGTAATGACTGATTTTATTATCCACTTTAATTAATACTGCCTCCGTTTTTACCGAATCTCACCCCCAATAAAGTAGTTACTTGTCTTTAAACTAACCTTATCTTTTTATATTTACCTCTATTTACTAGGGTGTTTCACCATAAAAAAATATAAAGTGATTTATTTAATGAGGATACTTTTGAAAAAAAGTAATGATTACACCTTAAAAGGTTAAAAATGCCTTACATTTTTTGATATCCAACTCCTTAAAAAATGTCTTATATTTTTAAATGGAGGGAGTATATTTTAATTTTGTGGTTTATATGGACAAGAGCACGCAACCTTCACATGATTAAAATCTCCTTTCTCATAGAACTTAGGTAAGTGTGGTTAAAAATGAAATCATTAAAGATTAAGGCATATTATGAGAAAGGATAATTGAAGGTATTAATTTTGGACTTGTTTACATGTGCTTTTGTGCAAATAAATTTTGCATTTATGAATAAAGGTTGGATCAAGTTATTTCCAGAAATCAAATGTTTTTCTCTTGACATAAAGGTACTAGTTTGGATAAATTTTGGTGCAACATTGTTGGATAGGACACATTTTAACTCTTTGTGTTCTGATCTAGTTGTTTATATTGCAGACCTATCTCTTGATTTCAGCCCTCTTATAACATGTGTTATGGAGAAATGTCTGAGATTGATCCACTCTAAATCTGGAACCTACTCGTTGCCTGAAAAATCAATGGTGTTATTATACATGTGCAACACAGTGAAGTTTCTCCTGCAGACACAGGCATGTGACTAACTGGTGATTATTGTTTAGTTCTGTTTGCTGTTTGTGCAATTATAATGTTTGAATTGCTTTTATGATAGGTTGATGCAGAATTGCTTTCTGCTTTACTTAATAAACAATTGACTGAGAGACTTGGTGGCTTTGATGAAAATGAGGAATTCTTGTGTGAGTGGAATTCACTGAAGAATTTTTGGCTCTTTGTGCGGAGCATATCACAGCAACATGGTGGTTGTCATTTTTGTAATGACAGATCTATCCGTTCAAATAGTTCCTTTACAAGTACACTTGGTGAAATAGAAAGATTTTTAAGTAATGGATGTTTTGATGAAACGCCAGGAATAGCTATAGCTTTTATATCCTCTATTTTATGTGTAGAAGTTGATGAGGTATTGATGAATATGCCAAAGCTTGTGATTATTTCTCACAATCTGCAAGGAATCCCTTTATCAATCTTATCTTCAGTGTTTTTCCTGGATCACAGTGCTCTTTTCCGTGCTTTTGAGTTATGGCCTCAAATGTTCTGTGCTGGCCTGGACATGGCTGTTTCAGATCTTAGTGGCAGTGGTAATAACACTGCTGCTGCTGGGATAAATTGTAACCAACTTTTTGATACAACTGAAGTTGATGCTGCAGCATTTAGCCTCTTCCTGAAACAGGCGCCTTTCCATCTGTTATTTCCTGCAACGATGTGTATGAAAGGCCCTTGCTCATCAGAGCTTTCTAAGATGCAAGAACTACTGTTTGACAAATTATCAGAGTGCACTAGCCATTGCTCTCTCCTCAATCTGCGTCTAATTCTCCATTGGACTCATCAAATTCAGTCATATCATAACTTGAACCCATCAGTTGAAATAGAACAACTTTCCCATATATGTCTTGTCCTTGTAAGGAAGTTATTAGCAAAGCTATTGGTTTCAGAATGTAGTTCTGACTGTGCTAAAAGTTCTGGCTCTTGTCCATTAACTCATAAGATGCATGAAGTGGCTAAAGTCATTTTTACTCATCCTTCTGTTTTGATGTCATTGTCCTTTCCTTTGGGAAATGTTCAGAACTTTGCAAGCAACATTGAGAACAGCTTTGATGGGCTAAATGTATTATTCGGAGAGGAAGTTTACAATTGTTGTAGTCCAATTATAAATATATTGACAATTACTTTAGACTATGTGTGGTCCATCTCCAGTACACACATTAGTGCATCAGAAGCCAGGGATGTTACTTATAAAGAACTTGTTAGGTTGTTCAAGGCACTACAACATAGACTGTTTCTGGAAGTCAAAGACAGATTTGATCAGTCTGTTTGTATGAAAAATCTAACACCTCTCCTCCAAACAGTTTATCCTTTACATGCATTAGTTCAGTTTTTATCCCCTTTTCTGCTCCTTGAATTGGTAGATTGGATGTTTAGTAGAGTTGAGTTAGATGACTGGATGGCTAAGAATACTGCTTTATCTGTTGGATGTTCCTTGGCTGCTGGTGCTTTCAGTGCTTTGTCCTATTATCTCCGGCAGCAAATTAGAGATATGCTACCGTATGATTTATTTTGGGAGATTTGTGAAAAGGGTAGCAAGGCTCATATATTTGAGAAGATCTACAGTAAAGTAGTTGACTTCGCCATAAGCTCTGAGATAGATTGTGCAGATAAATGCTTGCTGGAAGCTGTCAGTGCTTTGTATGGCCAGAAACACATTCAACAACAAAATTTTCATCCTCTGTTATTGGCTATGTGTAGGATCATAATGATTACTCCAGTGGAAATAATTTCTTGCTGCATTTACAAGACAAATATAAAGAAAGCAAAATTCTTATTTATTCTCACTGAAATGAGCTCTCTGCATTCATCAATCTTTGGGCAATTATTTATGAATCTACTGAGCAGAATTTTAGATCATGATAGTGGTCTAACAGGAAGATCCTTTGACCTTGCACTTTCAGAAGATCACTTTTTGCTGCTTCTGCCAGCCTGTTTGTCATACTTGAATTCAATTTCTCTGAGACTTGGGGAGCAGAATCGCAAAGAGTTTAAACATGTACCTTACTTTTATTCAAGAATTCTTTTGAAAGGTTTCAGTCAGTGGAAGAACTTTGTGTCTAAAGACATATTTGAGGAAGATTATGGAGAATTCTTTCCATTATCTCTCAATCAACTTCTTTGTCTTGTTGATGGTAGTCTTCTTGGAAAATCTCTTCAGATATTGCGGCATCACTTTGCTCTTAATGGGCATTCAATGACACTGAAGAAGCGATTGAAGCTATTTAAGCAAATTTTCCCGAATTCTGCTTCACATGATGAGCTTCTGGACTGTAATTGTCAAGTAATTGATTGTTATTCGCTGCACTGGTCTTTAAATGTCATTAATCGAATTGTTGCAAAGATATCACTTTGTAAAATATTATTATTTCATGAGGAAGTAAATGGGGATCTTAAAGTTGTTTCTTCAGCGATGGGAAGAAAAATAGGAACATCCCGGATCCGATTCATCAATATTTTAGTGGATATTTGGCACTTTATTGTTATGAAATTTTCCTTAGCTTCTGATCAATCTGTAACAAGAAAGAGCAGAAACATATCATCACTATATAATCGCTTGGAAGTCTTTGTGTTAAGAAATATTCTTGGATTGACTGTGGAGATTCTTGATGATCTTATCCAAATGGAATCTATTCCCTTCCTTGAGCAATTATTCAGATCTGCACTTCTGTACAGGTTTCATGATCCAGTGACAGTGAAAATCCTCCGAGTCCTGTTAACACAGCTTTACGGAGGGAAGCTATCATATGATTCATATCTTCAATTATTACTTGCTCACTCGCAGTTTGCCTCAACCATCCATTCAGCGTGCAAGTTGACTCATTCTTTTCCATCAGATTACTATTTGAAACCTGTACCTAGCATTCTGAAGTGTCTAGTCTTCCCTTCTCTTGACCACTATGAATCTGACAGACCATGTGATGAGAAAAAAGCTGAGCTCTCTAGTGGACGATTAGAAATTATCAAGTTACTTCGGACACTTCTGTTGAAGAATGCTCATCAATCTGGTTCAGGTTCTGGATGTGATAGCGACATAAACTATAAAGAATTACATTCACTGCTATGTGATTCCTATGGTGCAACGCTTTCCCAGATTGACTTGGATATATGGAAGCTGATTCAGGAAATTGAGTGTATCAGTAAATCAGTGTCGGAGAGTATTCTTAATGCAGTGTGTCTATGGGGAACTACAGCATTGAAAGTTAAAATAGATCATCCATCGGAGCAATACTCATCAAATATCAAGGTTGATTCACAAGAAACCAGAGAATGGTCGACAAGCCAACTTAGAGAAGATAGTCCAATTGACCCGGACACATGCATATCAACCGTTCTCTTCTTTCCCTATGACAGAAGCACCAGTGATGAGCTACTGTTTGTAACGAAGATTCAACCAGATAATGTTGGGGAAAGGGTTGAGGTATGTGTTCAAGTTATCTTTATCAATGTTCTATTAGTATGTTTTCTTGTGTTGTTACCTCTACTTAACAAACTCCTTCAAATCCTATGCAGATATATTCTTCAAATGTGCAAGTTAGAAAACAATATGATCCTGCTTTCATATTGCGTTTCTCAATTCATATATTGTCAAAAGGTTTTGTTGAGCCAGTGGATTTTGCTAAGTTAAGGTTGCTTGCAATTGCATTTGTTAGCATGTCTTCACCTGACCTTGGGATAAGAAAATCGGCTTATGAGACTCTGGGTATATTCAAGAATGCTTTGGAGGTTGGTAACAGGCTCGTATTTTTGTTTCATCATCATCATATTATGGGTCTGTTTGCTTTATTTATTCTCTTAATTGCTGTTGATATATGTAGAACTCAGAAATTCTGTATTCATCTACTGAAGGGGCAGTGGTTACAATATAAAGAAGAGGGTAGCGATAAATCAGCCACACCAAATCCTGAAATATCTAGGAAATAGAAAAAATAAAACCGATTTATTGAGATCCCAAAACATTAGGGATATAATGTATAAATAAATAAGAGTAATGTTGAAAGAAACCTAATGGGCTTAGCTAGGGCCCAAGTCGTTCTCCAACAATATATACTTACAAGCTAACTTATGTTATGCACAGTAAGCTCAAAAAAGAAGAAAAATACAACTTAGTAATTCCGCACTAGTCTATTGTGGATATAATGAGACCAGAAGTCTGTGAAGGAATATTATATTAATATTAGATAAAAAAAATTTTGGGATTACTGTTAAGATTTAGAAAGTAATGTATCTTGAAAAACTTTAGATGGAGAAGTCTCTTACTAGAAATTTGTCTTTTATCAGTTTACATGAAAATTGCAACCTGAATAGAGAGTATACTGCCAATGGATCCTAGAATCCTTTGTTAAAATTCGGATATTACATATTATTTTGTTAATTGAGCATGTTCATAGCTTTTAAATTTTCTGCAATTTTTATTTTTATGAGTTAGTTTTTGATCATTAACAAAAATGCTGTACAGAAGTGCCAAAAGAGGAAGGATGTAGTAGGACTTCGCCTTCTATTAACTACTGTGCAAAACAGTATAGAAGAACCATGGCAACGAATCCCTTCAGTTATTGCTCTTTTTGTTGCTGAGGCATCTTGTATTTTGTTAAATTCTTCACATGATCATTTTGCTGCTATAAGTAAATTGTTGACACACTCTTCTAAGTTGAATTTACGGGTATGTATTCCATGGTCTCCCGATTTTCATAATCTTTCTTAGGTTTCTTGTTTTAACTGGCTGGTCGTAAATTGTCTTATTTATATAGAAGAATAATTCTGTTTCCTGTTTCATGTGCTTTTAATTTCTAGGTTATACCTCTGTTTGATGACTTTTTGTGGAGTACTTCTGTTAATTTCAAAGCAGAAAGGTTATGGATGCTTCGGCTAGTATATGCAGGGCTAAATTCTGATGATGACGCCTTGCTGTACATCAGGAACTCTATCCTTGAGAGCCTATTGAGCTTTTATATGTCTCCTCTTTCTGATTTTGAATCAAAGGAGCTGGTTATGGAGGTGAATGATTTACCTAGTTGATAAAAACTTTCTTTGTACTTCGTAAAATGTTACTTTCACTTGTGGAAGCGAAGCAACTTTCTTCTTTTTAGAAAGTATATTGCTCTTTACAGTTGAAGCTTTGGTTTTTATAGGTAGCTTAGGTGATGAGCATTTCTTCATCTTTTGTTTGTATACGTGTTGTTATTTTTTGTTGCTTGCCTCTGTGCGCTATTCATATTATATCAAGGTTTTTAAAACTAAAATCATCATTAAACTAGACAAGGCAATGGTTTAAGGACCAATGGTCAGACTATGTTTGACTTGTCATCAGACCAATCATGGTTAATTTAATATATTTCTATGTTAAATATAACATTAGAGGCAATGTTTTATAAAATTTTATTTTACAAAATTAAATTTATAGGATGAGTTTAAATAATTCTTTTTCTTTTTTATTATTACATATCATTTTTTTTAGTATATAAAAATTGAAAGTCAAGGAGGTGAGAAGTTGCTTTCTCTTCAATTTTGCAAAAGTATTATTATTGATCTTCAAAAATATTTTAAGAAAATTAATAAATGATTTATAACTTAAAAAATAAAAAGAAAATTAATCTCAGCTCACCAGTTTTACCAGTTCCCGGTTTTATCCCCTATACTAGACTGGACACTAGGCTGGTTCGTGGTCTGATCTGATTTTTTAAACATTGATTCATGTTGTTTATTCAGGTTAGCATGAATCAATCAAACCTGGCCCCCCTAAAAAAAAAAAGAAAAGAAAACACAAAAACAAAAGGGATGCAGATTGCCTCTATTCACTGCATTTTCTTCACATTTAGGCTCTGTTTGGTTCAAGGGGAGGGGAAGGGAGGTGAGGGGAGGGGAGGGGGAGAGGAGGGGGAGGGAAGGGGAGGGGGGAGGTTTTGGGGAAGAGGGGAGGGGAAATTTTAAAGCATAGGGTTAGTGTTAATTTCATTGCCTAGGTTTTATCATTGTGTTTGGTTGGTTGCTCCATTTTTTCCATTAAGGCAATGTGTATTTTCCCTTACAGAAAACATCCTTCTGGCAGCTTGTACAATTGTAGTTAAAGAGAACTCTAGAGCTCATTCATGTTGAAAATGATTGGATACGAAGACTTTACCCATCTTGATATCACTATTGTAGGAAAGTTTGATAATCTGTGAATTAATCCCAAACTTTCAACGCTACTCCTCAAGCTAGAGAGTGTAGATATTTTCCATCCCTAGCTTGGCTTACAATCCTCTCAACTTGCCACTCCTTTAGTGTGGATGTCTGATGTTTGTTTCTCTTGCATATTTATCTACTTTCAAGCGTTTCCTTGATGAAACATTTGTCAGCTTCTTTGCATTTTATTCTGTCATGTTTAATTGGATTGTGAGCTGTGTTGATTGCAAACTTATTCTGAAAATAAAGGTTCACTGATTCTCCCAATTCATCTTCAAGTCTTCTAGGATAAGCTTCAGCCAAAAAAAACTAGAAGAAATTTTTTCAAGTCTCTCTGCATATTCAGAGATAATTGTTTCCATATCCCGGTATGTTATACTTATAGGTTGATGTAATCTTATTTTCCACTGCAGGTTATACAAAAGTCTGTCAAATTGCATAAGATTGCTTGCCATCTAGTGAAACATTGTTCTCTTTTTTCATGGTTCTCATCTCTCATCTCGGTAATTGGAGAGAGGTTTAATGGTGGCGAAGAAAGATTTTTCTTGAAGCAAGCATTGGCAATATTGAAGGTAAGTAACTGAACTCTCTTTCATTGCACAATTTATTTTTCGTGTCTCTGATTTAGTATTTTCTTTCGTTTCCCGTTTTATATCTTTGGGGAATTGCTAAATCTGTCATTTGACCTGTAAATGTTATTTGTTTCTTGGTTCCTGGGCAAAATAGTGGTGAGCAATAGATGGACACCCATTAGAATCGAATCTTCTTTGGAAATCCTTATTTTTCAGCTTTCCTGCAATGGAAGTAGTTTAGCATACGGTTGAGTCTTTCAACAAGAACTTTTTGCAGTATTATTAACACGAGATTACATTTAATCTTTTATTTGATTTTGGTAATTTCTCTGAGACATAATTTGCTGCTTTTCCAGGGAAGCTCCATTTCTTTGCTTTTCTCCCACATCAGAAAAATGGATTTGGTTTCATTTATAAGTGGGTTTTTGTTTCTGTTGGCCAAAGACTTACAAAATGTAAAAATGATAACCTTATTTTTTTTTTCCAAAGAAAAAAGACAGCCCAAAAAAAGCCTTAAACGAAGCAGTTTTCCCCTCTACTTCAGCTTTATGAAACAAGCACTTACCCTAGAAATGGTGACCTCAGAGTCAGAAGAAAGAGTTTAGGGTTCCTTTATTTCTAGGAAAGAATGATAATGGAATGGTCGGGAGTGAAATAGAATGGAATGTTGATAACATAAATCTGTTTGGTATGATATTAATAAGATTGGAAACATTTTTTTTATATTTAATTAAATAAAAATAAAAGTGAAATGACTTATTGCCCTCGATGAATTTTTCTTTTCCCTTTCCTTTCCTCTCAGTCAGTAAAACCATGCAAGAAACTGAGCTTCTTACCTACTACCACTGCTGGCACCGTAGGTTCCAATTTTCCTGCCTCCTCCTTTGACCTTAACTTTCCCTCTCTCAACAAAAAACATAGATCTAGATCCAACGAAAAACAAAAATGAATCCAAGCTCATAACATGGTCTTGACATCATTGAAATTGGGATTCAAGTCAAACAGGGATTTATAAATCCTTCTTTTCTCCATTAACCTGACTATAATGTGCAACTTCTTCAGAGCAAGACCACTGATGCAATATCATACAGATCCAATTGTTGCCAGTAGTGAGCTAGGGAATTATACTATTGAGTCACAGTTAGAGAGCCTTGTATAAATTCATGTAGGACATTCAATTTCCAGAATATCAACTTTATTCTTCAAGGAGGAATAAACTCTTTTGCCGCACTCCAAATTTCTGTGGCTGTTGCATCGAGCATAAAATTCTTCCCAACTCGCTAAATCTGGGATCTTCAGGATGTGGCTGACGAGCTTGCAACTGAAAAATCCCTTTGATTCTGCCTATGATATAACTACATGACTACTGAATATTCTCTGACAGAAATAACAAAATTGAAAATCTCACATGATGGGGATGGCCATAATTTTCTCTATATAAGTTAAAAAGGAGAGGAATGCTTAACACTCAAATGTTGCGGGTCTTTAGCTCCATACTGCCTCTAAACCTTTGGAAAAGTATAGGAAAGTTCAGAGACAAGTTTTTCTCTGTTTCAGCATTTTATTCACAGTGTAAGAGAGCTATCATACATAAAACATGTTGACAACACTGGTCAAAATAAGGGATGTTGGCCACAACCTTTAGACAATTTAATCCCATAAAATCTGGATAAGAAAATTAAATATAAACTAATTCTTATATCTGAAGCTATATCAGTAGAAATAAAGCTGAACAAATAAATAAGAGCACGAGTTGCAAGAAGTACGGAATATCATATGGTGGTTGCATGATAAGCTTATCATCAACTTATAAAAATACCTGAGAGGACTGATTGAGTCAAATCAGTGAGGTTTTATTTTTTAACAGAAAAATAAGACCCTTCTAGGTTTTGAAGGTGGCATAGAAAAGGGTCTCCTGCTTTTGTGTTGTAATGAAATGATGCTTTTGGGTTTTTTGTGCCCAAATGATGTTTTCTCATTTAAGAAGGAAAATAAGAGATTTTATTTGTAAATTGTAATGGATATTTTATTCATACTAACAGTTTATTTTAACATTTATTTATGCTATTTTTTAAGAATATTTGGTCCTCATTTATTTATTTATTTTTGATAAGTTGATTGGCGATTATGCATATTGTCATATAATATATATGTATATAATTCTACTCTTGTATCGTAAAACTTCAAAAATTGTATCTTCCACTTGTTGTGCAATACCCATTTTGGTGCTACATAATATCTAGTACTAAGCTTGGTTTAACTTTTATAACTCATAAAGGTCTTAGATGAAGCTTTCCTTAGATTTTACTTCTTTAACCTATGATTTATCTGAAATGTAGAATTTAATAGTATAATATGATTAGCTCATGAAGCATCCTATGCTTATTAAAGTTTGTGGCACAATCTGTACGAAAAACATTAGGTGTTAATTTTTGTTTACTTATATTTTTAACATTTTTCTTATTGTTCTCTGTCCCTCAATTTTAATGATTTAGGCTGTCAATGATGTCATTTCATGGGGAAGCATCTCAAAATGGCTGCAAAATTTTGCTCTTGAGCAGCTGGCAGAACTTTCTTCTAATCTATTTAATTACATACTCCATGATGCAACATTGATGGTTGAAGCTGTGGCATTACTTAATCCCTTGCTGCAAATGATAGTGTCGCTGTTGAAAATATCCCAAAAAAGGAAAACATGTCAGCCACATTTTACCCTATCAATGGAGGGCTTATTTAAGATATACCAAGTTGTTGGTCAGTTTAATCTTGCACATATTAATCCAGAGTTGGCGCTTGAAGCTATACTTATGAATGGGCCTCCTGTCTCCATTTTCCTGATGGTATTTTCACTTGCTCGCTCTCTGTCTGCATGCCCTCTTCTATCTTATCATTTTGAGGCATCTGTTTCTGTTTCTTTTTAAAATTGTCTGATCACGGAGCTTATATTGTTTAATTTTTTAAATGTTAATCATGGTTTAACTGAGCAGAAGATATAAGCAATTTTAAGCTAAAATATCTTTGATTTATTGATACTATAATAACTGAGGAAGAAAGCATACATAATTTTCCTATTCATGCTTTTAATAAATAAATATGGTTAGTTTTAATGGTCTTCCTTTTCTTTATTTATTAATTATTTTCTTTGAGAATGGGTTTTTTAACATATTATAAGAATTTTGACTTTGATTTATTTTCCAGTGAAGAGAGTAGAATGGATAACTTTGAATCCTGTTAAGAGAGATAAAGGAAAGCCAAAGAGAATACTTTTGAAAATTGTTGACCAACACCTTTTAGTTAACATTTCTAAAAGTTTGATAAATGATAGAGCATAATAGCATTGTACAATTCATGTAACTGACCCCATCCAGTGGGATAATACTTATTATTGTTGTTGATGCTGTTAATCCATTTTAGTTTGGCTTGCCATCCATTTCTCTCTTTAGGCGGTGAATTTTTAGTGAGAAATGCATTTATCATACTGTAGACCATTGCCATGATTGAAGAATATATAGATCTTATGCTAATCAAGCCAAAACTTGATATATACCCTTAATCATTAACCTTAGGTTATTACTTCTGGTGACAATGAGAGGATCCTAATGAGCCATGACCATATTTGATTGATCTGGCTTCTACTTGGGCTTATATAGCCAATATTTTTACCTTTTTTATTAATGTATTAGCTACTTGAGGGCATTCTGATGCATATCGATGTGTTGCTTGATTAGTATTCTTTCTCATTGAATTTGTGTTGACTGAAGTGATATTTGTTTGTTCTCTTCTTTGGATGGGTGTTTGCCTTGTGTCTGTGCAGCATGAAGAAAGGCTTGAAAGCTTTCTTAAGTGGGCAATTTCAACTGCTTTACAATCAGAGTCTTCTCGAAAGTTAATGTCTAATGAGTCTCAAGTATATTCAATGAAGGAGTCTGGTGATGTGCAGCGTAAAAATTCTTTGCTGTCAAAATTTCTCCGCTGGTTAACAGCATCAGTGATTATTGGGAAACTCTATCAGAAATATGATTATATGGATGCCAAGTTTTTCGAACCACAAAACTTTAACTCCCTCTACTCTCTACTGCTCCACATTGAAAACGTTTATGGACGAAGAGATGAAATAAGAATTGCTGGTGAGGAGTTACTGGCTTCTACAATTTTCTCTCTCCAACTGCTTCTTGGTGTCAATTGTGAAGTGCTACCCTCAGTTGTATCTGCTCTGTGTCTCCTACTTTTTAATGCTTCTGATTCTGCAGGTATTCTATTTTATATATTGTAATGGTTTGTTGAGTGATTCTGCTGGACCCCCCGTGATTTTGGGAACAATCTTATGGGATACATGCTTTTAATGGCTGAAGTCAAATTCCTTTGTTTCCTTATTTGATTGCTGTTTTGAGGCTTAATTTTTCTTTCACGTGGCATGTTATTTATTTTATGGTAGAGGAGCCATTATTTCCTTTTTAGGTTGATTGACTGAAAATTCTGTGGCCATTGTGTTTTTCTTCCTGGAAAGCTTGAGAGTGAATTTTGTGGCATAAATTAGTAGAGCCTTGAGGGCTTTATATTATTCTGTTGATGCTATTACTTGCATCTTCTGATGCAAACGACTGGGATTTTGATGGTGTTCAAGATTATTGTAGTTTCATGTTTGCTTTGGCATTTGTTCATTTGGACACATATACTTAATTTCTACTTTGTTTCTATAGTGGGGAAAACTGACTTATTGCAAGACAACGATTCTCTGATATCATCGCTCTGTTCAAGGATACAGTGTCCTCCAGAAGCTAATCCTGCTTGGAGATGGTAATTTTTCTTGTTTATTTCATTTTATTGCTTTACCTTTTTCGTTCGTTATGATTGAATAATAGTAGGCTGCTGTATAATCAGTAAAACGGTCATATTCTTTGTACACCTGATGTCAAACGAGCTTCTTGAATGCCCGTAATATACAATTTAGATACGTTTTACTGACAGAAACACCTAACGTCCAGGCATGTTTGGCTTATTGATGATACAGGTCATTTTACCAGCCGTGGAAGGATCTTTCACTGGAACCAACTGATGTACAGATGATGGAGCAGTATCATGCTTGCCAAATCTTGTTATTAATCATCTCAAATGTGCTTGGTGGAAGGAAGTTAGAATCCGCTAATCTATCACACATAGATATTGAGACATCTGATGTATTTAAATGGGAAAGAAGTTTGCTTGAAAATGATTCTTGATACGAAGTTAGCATTGTAGATATTTTTGTTGTACTTTGATTTTGTATTTATTAGGGTATTACATTCTTGTTCTATGTAAACTCATATTTGATTGAATAGATATAGATATAAGACAATTTGATCTCGTTTCTTGCTTTCCACTTTCTCTTTTGTGCTTTTTGTTGGCTTTTTTTTTTTTTATTTCCATTCTAAATCAACTCGAACAATATAAATTTAAAGAAGAAAATTGATGAGAGTTTTAAATGATTTCATACGGATTCCAAAGATGCTGTATCAGTATCCAAAGAATTTTGTTCATGAGAAATGCGGAACAGCAGAAGTGCAAGTAGGCCTTTATTTCCCTGGGTAAAATTGGCTGTATAGATTGTATGTTGTGATTGTACTTCATCAATAGTCAAATTTCTAAAAATATTGTTAATCGAAAGATCTTTTTTAATAATTGCATTTAATATTCTCTTTGGTTTCTTTATATGTTAAAGAAAACATTTAACAACCACTTTTACTGACGTTATACTTGATTAAACTTTAAAAAAACACTTTTTTCTTATCAACTTATAAGAAAAGATTGCATAAAATTGTATTTATTATTCTAGAAATGGATAAATAACTTTTAACTTTGGTTCATAACTTCATATTTTGTATGTTTTCATGTGATTGAAATATGGAATTTAAAATCATAATAATACGCAGTTCAAAATTGTATTGTTGATAAAGTATTAATATATTTTCTTGAAAATGAATTGTTTTAAGCCTCTAGAATAATAAGTTTCAAAAACCATCGCGCAAGTTGAATTATACAAAGACAGATATTTGATACATTAGATTATAATTTATGAAAGAACTAGCCTCGAGCTCGTGTGACTTGGTGACACCGTGCTCACTTGTTTTTTTAAAAAAAAAATTACTCTTAACATGGTTCTTTTTTATAGAAAAGAAGATACACACCCATGGACACACATAAACATGTCAATGCTGGATTTGAATCCAAAATCTCTCTCTAAAAAAGGAAGTGACACTATTACTAAGACAACAAACCATTGACAACTAATATATATTTTTAAATGGGCAGGATTATCAATTTATTGTAATAAAAACTCAATTTTTATAGTAAAAGTAGATTGATGAACTTGAAAACACTACCGACGGGGTGGAGGGGCTTGATACTTATAATGGAAGGTTATCGGCTGAAACTTGTGATTACAGAAATTTTAAAAGAGTACTTATTTAATTTTTTTAATTATACATATTCAACTACTTTATATACACTAAAAGAATAGTTGATATTTAAAAAAGTATTTCATCTTTTTTTAAAAAAAAAACAGGACTCTTGATAAAATATTCTCTCTGAATTTTTCTCTTTTTAGTTACGTGCAAGGCATTGTTTACGTGTGCGACAGTTCTTTTAGTATATGTAATCACCTTCAATTATATTTGCAATTTTCTTTCACTTCGGCCTAGTAGTGGAACGTGCATCTCAGTGCGTGTAATGGGCTAATGGGTCTTCAATCACATGCAGAACTCTTCAGCCATGTACCAATGTCTTCAATGGAAACCTTCAAAAAGCATGTGCAAGCTGTTGTCGATGTGTGCAATGGTTCTCCTGGTATATGCAACTTTCTTCAAAAATCATCAAGTGTTTGACACACTATTGAGCATTGAGTTGGCCAAAAAAAAAAAACTATTGATGTGGCTTCTTGAAATCCAGGTATGAATGAAATTAAACTTGGCCATGAAGTATGGTGATAGGGGTTGACGCGTTCAAGTGGCTGATTTCCTACGGTGTCATTTGATTTGGAACCTTGGATCGCTGCTTTTCTATCGGCCGCACGACAAAAATCTGCACAAAACTTTTTGGGCTTCACTGAAGGTTGGGAGCATGCGTGTGAATACCAATCAAGTCTGCAATATGATTTCTTCTTGTTGAGATGGCTCCTGCAAAATGAAAAAAGTCCTTCACTAGCTGCTACAAATGGATATACGAAGTCTACTCTATCAAAGGGCATTTCACCCCTTTACGGGTACTTTTTTTTTTTTTTTGCCAAACTTATTGATTGTCAACTTCCTAAAATTTTAAAACATCAATTCAATTTCTGTGAGTTCGACGTGAGTTAAATTAAAATTAAATTTTTAAGAGAAATGATACAAATAACGCCAATTTCTTATGCCAATTATTTATTTTTCATACTATACTCTTTTATTTTCCCTACGTAAGTTGTTTATGCTTTTAATTTTACTTATTTATATTCATAATGATATCATAATGTTGGTGAGAGTTACAAATTTTTCATATATTAGTTGTTTATTTTTCATATATCGATTTTTCATGTTTCCTACATGAGTTATTCATACATTCAGTCTCACTTGTTTATATTCATTGTGGTATTATACTGTTAATAAGAGTTGTAAATTTATATATGTTAGTTTTTTATTTTATATACATCAGTTATTTATTTTTTCTGTATAAATCGTTCATGCGCCTAACTTTATTTATTTATATTTTTAATTGTATTATGCTATTAATGAAAGTTCAAATTTTTCTTATGTCATTTGTTCATTTTTCCCATGTCAGGTATTTTTATTTGAGGAGGTTGGGGTTATTTGTGATGTTTCACAATTTTAGAAGGCTTGACTGTGAATAAGCTTAGTCCGGGGGCTTATAGCAAAATTTCTATAAAACTATAAAAAGTTAGTACAATATACTACCACCAACAATCATGCCCTAGACTCAAACCACGCACGCATAAAGCAATTTCAATATAAATTATTTGAAATTTAAACATAACTCTTCTCTTAATTAATAATTAAATTCCTGTTTGTCATTGCAATTTCTGAGTCGTGTGGGAAATTGATATGGGAGTTTTACTGAGAGAAACTTGGCCTTTTTCTGAGAGAAACTTCGTGCCACGATTTTTTCCCTTTCTACTTCACAAGGCCCCCCTCCTACTATTCACTCACCACTATCAAAAACGGCACTTGAACAACAAATCTAATATCATTTGTTAACGCTCATGGCCCATAGAATCTCTCATTTATTATAAATACTCATTTTCCATAAAGAAATCTTAACTTTGGGTTACAAGAACAATTCGAAGGGAAAAAATGGCACTGAATTGTAAGTTCATAGCAGAAAGAGAAGATAAAAATATAGTAAGTATTTTAGACTTATTTTGTTAGAAACAAATGGTAGAAGAAGTTGGAATATACTATGTAGCTAGATGAATATTGTTGTAGTTTGGATGGACAGTGAAACAGAAGCATAAATGAACAAGAATATTTGGTTTAGAGAGGAGATTACTGAAGGAGGAATCCAGTGTGAATCCAATAGGTAGTTACAGTAAGCGTTTGGCGATGCGGTTAGACACGCGAAGGGGAAAAGATAAGATAATTCAACATACAAATTAAGTAAAAGAAAACATGTGATTTATACTTTTTAATTTGCACGGGTAAAAAATAACAAATTAGTCAAATAACTTCTAGCACACGTGATGTATGGAGATGATAAATTTTGAAATGAACTGCACTGTTTAACTTTTTGACATAAGCTGGATAACAAAATATGATATATTTTTGCTGAAAAGGAGTATCATGAAATTAGAGTTGAAAGTGGGAGGATTGGAGAGGCCAGGTGTTGGTGATGATTACCCATTTGCTTTCCATCATCAAATTGCAAGTAACGGACGTCTCTAAATTAAACCTCACCACTTTCTTTCATGTTTGCAAACTCCTCATGTTCAGGGTTTTACTTTTACATATAATCCAGAGCCGAGGGCTCCGCTCATACTATTTCCGTTGTACTCATCTGATGAAAAGCACTCCTCAAGACTCTCGATAAATAAACGTGTTTTATTTTGTACACCAACCATAATTGACCCTGATATCCAAGTATAATGTCTCCAGCCTTGAATCTTTACTAGGCATTCTTATATCATCAACAGATTCAAGGTAACCAACACGAATAGCCTTTTTCCTCTCAAAAGTTTACAGGACCGGAGAATGATTTGATGCCAGTTGCCTCGGTCAGCATAGTCATTAGAGATCCAAAGTAACCGCATGTGTAGCCAAAACTATTCTACGCTAAGCGCCCCTGCACTAGTGTATTTTTGTACTCAGACTTGAAACCAAAGGGCGCTTACCCTTTTTGCTTCTCGCCGCCCCATGAACCGTGACAGATTCTGGTGCCAACAATCAACACCTCACATTTTTCTGACTCCACATCATCTCTCTCTAGCCTTGCAATTAAGGCTTATCCATTTAAGTATATTTTTATAAACACTCGAGCTTGAAAAAATTTAAAATATATGACATTATAATTAAAATTTTAATTGTTAACAAGATAAAAATGAGCTTTTACATTCAACCCTGAACTTTTCAAATACGTGTTAAACTTTAAAAAATAATTAAATTTAAGATAATTAAGTTTACGGGTTCAACCTGCTCATTTTCTAGTTTTATCTTTAAATTATTTCATAAATTTAATGCGTGATTCTTGCAGGCTGGACAAATTGTGAGAAACACTAACAAAAATATTAAATTCCTAATTTTTCATTTAGGGATTATTTCTCGTGGGATCAAAAAATTCTAAACCACCCCCCTCCCCAAAAAAAAAAAACCAAAAAGAAGCCCACATTTTCTCAAGTGAGGATCATATCTTGTGGCTTAAAAAAATCCGTGAGAAATTTTTAGGCACTTTTCACATTGAAGCATTAATGTGCACTAAAGTGAGAGGCTCGCATTAGTGTGCGCTCAGATGAGTACATAAACAAGAAAAAGAGCCAAGAAGAGGAACGAACTCATGCCCAGCATCAGGCCAAGACAGAGAAGATGCTTCTATTGCCCCGAGGTGTGAGATCACATGTAATGGATGTTCTGGGTGTTTAGAAAATGCAAAAAAAATTAATGAATGGTGACAATGAAAGAAACTGTGAGAAGTGTGTGGACTCTAATCATGGAGGCTGGGGCTCTGCTTGCTGGTATAAACCATGCCAGCTGGGCCTGGGGGAGAGGGACAGTGTTGGTAAGGTCGTTGGTGGAGCCTTTCCCCAACATGTACATAGTCACAGGTGATTTCATGATCACGAATAAAGGGAGAGGAAATCGACGAGTGATATTGCATATAAACAACTCCTCCAGCGTCAGGGGTGCCGGAAATCTGACGCATTGTTGGCCTACAGAGCCTTGTCGCAAGCCCTGGGTTTAAAAGCCAGCTAATTTTTTAAAAAAGATCCACTGCCTTCAATTTTATTCACATTACAGAGGCCCAGGGGACAGATGCATGAGAATAAAATCCCTGGAGATCTTGATATATAACCTCTCTATCATGTGCCCAGTTGAGATAAAGAGAAAATGAGAAATGGAAGCGTGATTTTAAAAGATATCGTACCAGTTATGTTTATTATATAATGACTATCGCACATGGTCTGAATGGAACGGAGACAGCTCACAGAGTATATGCCTAATTATCATCTTAGCCCCTCTTAACAGCATCATCCGGAAGGAACATTGGAGGGTGGTTTCCACCAAAAAAATAAAAAAAAAAACACAAAAAATCAAGGATATGCCATTTAAATAAGCTAACAGATTTTACTTAGAAAAACGCGTGAATTTTGAGAACTTCATACGCAGGTCATATGCCATACGAGAGAATCCAAATAAGTTTTCAAGATTCTACCATCAAATTGTTCCCAGCAGGTTTGAAAATTTGCTAACTAAAACGTTGCGTAATTGTTCCCATAAGAAATTCAAAAAAAAAAAACGAAGCAAGGAGAGTTTCTTACACCTGAAACCAATCTCATGATCTGGTCGTCTGATCCCCTAACAGAGATTAGAGTAATCGCTTACTCTTCAATAGTTCCTGCGTTTCCAGCTGCAATTTACCAGTAAGTACAAAGTTTACTGAAATAGGAAACTATCAGCCATAGATCGCAATTTAATTAGTTATATCCCCCCTCCTCCCACAAATCTAAATATAAATTACAAAGACAAGGACTCAATAATCAGAGTAATATGAAAAAAACCCAGAAAAGCAGATGTTTGGCCCATTCAGACGCTAAATTTTTTTGCTCACAATGCAGATGCTAAAATTTAGATGTACGCGGAATGTAATAAATATCTAGCACGATAAGCCTTTTATTTGAGGGAGGAAATGCTAGTCAAAATTTAACAAACCTATAAATTAAGCTTTGCTCGCGGGTACACTCCAGGGAATGTCAAATGGCATTGATATTGTAAATACTTTTTGTTGGAGATAAACTGAACTTATCGCAAATAATTGAACAACTTACAGGAGCTTTCATCATGTTGATCTTTCTGGTTGTTCTCCATGCAGTTTAGGAGGAATTTAAAAGTCTCAATCTCACATGGGATAGTGAGCCCGCCACTTTGCTCAAACCCGAATTCGTCGGCAGCCTTTTCCAGCAACACTTTGAATAGAGAGTGACTAAGATAGCTGGTGGGAATGATGAACCTCCGAAGCTCTGGCCCGACATAGACTGCCAAATACCCTTTGGGAACATCAGGTGGCGGCTCAGGGCTCTGGCAGCTTTCTTCATCCGAGTCACAGTACATGACGCTCCTCAGCCTTCTGTTAATCATTGGTGCTATGCCCCCGTGATTCAAGTCAGCAGGTTGACAGTTCACTTTTGAACTCAGGGTGACAGATTGCCACTTCTGAATCATCTCCTTTAGTCGCACAATCTGCCCAATTCTGCTCAATTTAGAGCCTCCGCTGTCGTCCATTGCTAAGCCTTCATCACAAAGTTAACAGGTTTTACAGGATCAGGTTCGGCGCTTATAGAATCTAGAGCAAAAAGTCTCGTCAGTTCAGATCCCACACAACATGGAAAGATACATCGAAATCATCTTACCGTTTTTTAAGTATATATTTTCAAAAACAAGATGGAAGAAAATTTCAGGTCATGATTACTTTCTTTGCATGGCTGCATAGAGGTATTTCAAATGTCAAAACAACAATATCCATAGCTAAAATGGCACTGAGCTTCTAAAACCAATTACTAAGGGGCTACAGCCAAAAGAAAACTATCCATTGATCATCTTCACCCGAAAAGAGAGGGTGAGCAAAATGCCATTATAGAAAAGGAGGTCATGAACGGCTCCTTCTATCCGGGAAAATATATTTCATTTTGCTGGATATTATTGTTCTCATTAGCCTGAAATACTCGTTACAATTGTTGAACAGGTCATGTAAGAATCACTCAACAACGACCTTCAAATTTATTACTGACATTACAGTTTAGTCATCACAATCTACAGCCTCGTTTGATAATCAATCATTGCCATCTGCTTGAAAATATTCTAGCCATATATTCCAACTCTTATTATGGGCCTCAAAATCATACCCGATCGTCATTCATACGCAAGGCATGGAATTGCATCTACGGGCATGGAGTTGGCAAATTGTAAGCTATGGTCCCCGTAGATCCAAAAACAGGGGAAGAATCTAGAGCACAAAGAATAAATTTAATCTACCAACAAATAGCGGGTACATTAAGTAAATGGCCGAAAAATATGAGCAGTAATAAAGATTAAACGTGGTAATGGAAGCTAATAAATTCGGCCTTCTAATAGCGACAGGCTAGGAAGCAGAAAGGTAAGCATCAAAGGAGAGACAATTTCAAAATGCTGATAGATATAGACACCTGAAACAGAATACGGTATATGGCCTCAGGTTTGAGCAGGAGGAAGAACCGCCATGTAGTGCCGGCAATGGAAGCACAGGTAGCGAACTCTCCGAGGAGAGAAAACTATGGGGGGAAAATGTTCTCCTGGATTATTTTTTATCTGCAAGGAATCACCAAAAGACAAATTTAGAATCCGAGCTGTAGTTTCATATATATATGCGACGATGAATTATGGGAGCCCCAACACCCTAAACCGGCGCCTCCGGAGACTCTGTTTTTCTGGTATGCTCCAACAAAACATCGATCTGTTGGGAACGGAATCCTACAGTTATTTTTCTTTAAAAAAAATAATAAAAATTGCTCCGGAACATGGCCCAGCCTATGGGTTTTTTTTTTTTTTTTCTAAATAATTGAGTTTGAGGTTTTGACCAGTTCTGTAGAAGGAACTTAAACGACTCTATAAATCCTGTAATTTTATTATTAATTTTTTTTTAAATTTTGTAAAACACTATATTTGAAAAAGGGACCTGCTGAACCCTAAGCTCTTTAAATTTTTAAATATTGAAGGATTTAAATTAAACAATTACCTCTTGCTTTTTCTTACTCATCTCTCCCTTACGCTCTTAGCTAGTCAATCACTCAATCTCACACCTCTCGTCCTTGTCTCTGCCTCACGGCCGCACCCTACATATAAGAGATCTAATACATATATTTGGTTAATATTTATTGTAAGTGATAAAAAAAATTACAAAAGTAATTGACATTCAACAAATGGACTTACATTTGAAGGATATAATATTCTATTTTTAAATGATGAAGAGAAGAATTTAGATTTACATTAATGAAGATTTTAATCTTCATTTGAAATTTAAACTTTTAAATCTTTGTTGAATTTTATATGAAATTTTAATTTATTTTATGTTAACTTCTAGAATATTATGTTTAAATTAAAACATTGAATTTTTTTCAAAAAGAAGACTTATGGGCCTAACTCTAAGCCCTTTAAATAAGATTCAAACCTCAAAATTATGTCAAATTTTAGATAACTAAGCATAAGGGTCAAGCCGCCCATATTCCCATCTCTAAACTCACACTGAAATATTAAATTGTTGATTATTATAGGTATAGAATCTGAAAAATTCATTTTATATTTAAAAAAATGACTTTCACTCCCCCCATTAAAAATATTAAAAAATATAAAGTATTTTTAATCAAATATCACTTTTCATAAAATAGTTACTTATCTTCAAAATAATACAATCTTTTTATATTTATTCATATTTAATAGGGTATTTCACTTTAAAATAAATATAAAGTAATTTATTCATTAATGATACTTTTAAAAAATGATTATACTTTAAAATATTAAACATATTTTATGTTTTTTAACATATAATTTTAAAAAAAAATGTCCTATATTTTTTTTAATAAAAGGAGTACTTTTGAAGGTCAACACTAACCCTTTATGATTTAGGAAGAGTCTACAGGCTTTAAGCTGCTGTTAACATATATTTTTTATGACAACTATTTAAATAATAAAATATTAAAAGTTAAAATGCATAAATCTTTCATGGAGTCATATACGACTTCTCTCACATTTAAATATCTATATTTTATATAAATTTGAGATGTTTGATGAACAATGAATGAATAGTAATTTTTTAAAAATGCCCCTAGTTTTTTCCTTTTTATCTATACTAGTGGAACATTGTCGAATTGTACTATCTGACTCTTTCATTTTTCAAAAAAAATTTGTTGTGAATCTAATGTTTTCTCTCTTTTTAGATGAGTACAGTACATACAAATTTTATATTTAAAAATGAGAAAAATATTTTATCTATTTTTATCTTAATTAATAATGCATTTCTTTTATTTTGTGAAACCTGTATGAATATTTTTTTAATATGAATAGTTATAAATACAAGCTTTTCTTTTATTTTTAAGATTTTATTTTCATCTACCTAACAAGTTAACCATTAAATTATGTATATTAAACTAAAATACCCCTATTTAAATATAAATATTGTCCAAAAATTATTTAAATTACCAACAAATTATTTTTTTATTATTTAAATGCAGTTATTTTGTAATTTTTTAAAAAAATCGAATATATAAATTAGCTAAAAAAGATATTCAAAGAGGCAATGCATGAACTCAATAAAAAGAAAGATAAAATCAAAATATTTTTAATAATTTAGAGTAGTTAAACCAACCTAAATAAACTCAAAAGCTAAAAGTGTTAAGAGTCATACTTGATTATAAATTTTTATATGTTCAGGTATTTTAAACTTGATATGAATTGAAGCTCTAAAGTTATGGAGAGAATGTAATATTTTAGTAAGCTTGATTTTAAAAAAATGAAGTAGTATGGTTTAAAAAAAGTGGTCTAAAAGACTTAGCATTAAAAATATGAGTGGAGTTTATATTTATAAATTTTAAGAATTTAAATAAGGTGTAAAAAATATTAAAATTTTTATATTTTGAGTGATCATGTAAGATTTTATATTCAAAATTAATGGTGAATATAAAATTTTTAGTAAAATAATATATGTTAAATATACACAAAATTTTTTATATACTCCCTCTATTAAAAAATGTAAGAAATTTTTTGAGAGATTGAATGTTAAAAAATATTAATCTTTTAAAATGTAATTATTACTTTTTTAAAAAAATAAAATATTTCTATACATACGGGGCATAAATTTAGTTTTAAAGTAACTCATAACCTTTAATTTTTTTTTAAAACTCCTACTATTAATTAACTATTATTTTGTTAAATAGTTAACACATAGAGAGGGGCAAAATTATACTTTTTATTTTTAATATACATGACGATACTCTTATTTTTTTAATTGAGAGACACTGTTCTCATTATTCATAGGTAACATAATTTAAAATAAAAATCATAATTTTATTATTCTTTATCAATTAAAACAATATTTTACATTAAACAAATATAAAAGAAAAATATCTATAAGTTGTCATTAATAAGAATCAAATAAATAATCTTTCAATATAAGAAAACTAAGAGTGTTCAGTCTGGACCTATCCCGATTGGCCCGGTATCGTCCCGATCATATTAGGACGGGTCTTGTCCCGGCCCGAAAATAATCGGGAAGGGACAGGAAAGGGGTTAGGGATGGGACGGAACACGGGATTACCATCGGGACGTTGTAACATCCTGATTTTTTATATAATAAAGAAATTGTGGAATTTAGGTTTTGAGAAAAAAAATGATAATAATAGGAATTTATATTATTTGAGGTTATTTAGAAATAATATTATGGTTAGGTATTTAATTATGAATTTAAAAATTTAAATTTAAAACTACATAAGCAATATTTAGTTAAGATATAATACATAAATAATTTTTTTTATGTATGTGTTGAAAAAAAAAGAGAGAAGGTAGAAGGAACAAAAAAAAGGGGGTGGAAGGTTGTTGTTTCTAAGTCCCACATTGGTTAGATGAGGAGAAGAGGTGCCTTCATGTATAAAAAGGAGGGGGTGTGTGCATTAGGAAGCATAAGAGGCTAAGATGCAATTTAGAGAAAATTGCAACTTTTGGCCCAAAGGTTTGAATAATTAAATTCAAACCTATAGTTTTTTTTAATATAATTTTGGGACTCACAATCCCATTTTTATATTATTTTTCTCTCTTCCTCTCACGTTGCTCGGCGTTTTCTCACAAGGGGGGATTATTTTCTTTTTCTTCAGGTATGTTCTAACTTTCCTGTTTAGATTAGCATTTAAAAATTTATTTAATTACAAAATTAATTTTATAGTTATTTTCTAAATAATATTAGCTTTCTAGTGATATGATTATTTTGTAGGATAGAGTAAATATTTTGATTAGGATTTTTCTATAGGATAGTTAATCTGATGATATGATGGATTAAAAATATAGGTTAAAATTCTTAGAGATATAATAAATATTATAGAATATTTTCTTGAGGTTGAAACTCATGTTTAAGAATTTTTGAGTTAAAATCTAGATCTATATGGTTGAATTTATGTGGAATCTGAGACGTAGGGATAAACTTATGATTATTAAATATTTATTTAAGTATGAATAGGTATTTTTGAGGTTATAGAAAGGTGATTTGAGGCTTCAGGATAATTCTAAAATTTTTAATTTATTTTTGGATGAATTTTTAGAATGTAGAAGGATGAAATTGTGATACTAGAAGTGAATTGAGGATAAAAAAAAATAGTTCATTAGGGTACGAGAATTTTAGAAAAGAATTTGGGAAGTTAAATGAGGTATAAATCTTAAATTAGTGTTAATATGGATTATAGATTTAAGACTTTCTAACTCTTTAAATTAGAGTTATTTATTTTAATGTAAAATTAATATATAGTATTGTGAAATAATTATGTAGATTATATTGACAAAGATAGTGGTGAAAAAGGAGTTGTGAAAGGGAACTTGTTATTCAAGACACAAGGTAACCATTATTAATGTGTTGTGATGAGTGTGTTTGTGAATGGTTATGTGTTGTTTTGTTGTTTGGAAAAATTATGAATTATTGAAAATAAATACTGTATATACTTGTTTGAAATTATTGCCAAGTGGGTTAAAAATTTATTTTTGTTTATCATGATGAGATATTATTGTTCGGATATATTCCTGTTTGGATATTTGAATGATGCATGACTTGTCAGGGTATTTTAATGTATGGTGTTAATGGAAATTTCTGTTCGGTTAATTATTACCACGTGGTAAGCCCTCATTGGACCCAATGAGTGGCGTGTCGCTTGGTCCAACTCACCTTTGGCCGGGTGATTTGGCGTCCGAGCATGGCGAAAGGAGAATATAAGGTGTAGTCATGCAATTAAATACTTGTTCGGTTTGTTTGGAAATATTGTTCGGTTAAATGTTTTGTGTGCCCACTTAGCAATCACATGATTAGTTACATCCGCATGCATCATTACATATTAATTTTTGGTTACTGGGACTTTTAAGTCTCATTCCCCGTGGTTAATATTTTTACAGGAACGAGTCCGGCCGAGAAAGCACCAGAGGTGTAACTATGGTGTATTAAACACCATCTTTTACGTTGCCTCTTATTTTGGATTATACAATGTATCTTGTGCCAACTTAGGACATATCTTCTTTGTGAAGCATGTAAACTCTAATCCTTTTTATTAAAAGTATTTATTTGACTAAGAGGATTATGTTTGTCCCTCTTGATTCATGACCTAATTTAAATATCATGCCATGAGGATCCTGTCTGTCCCTCATGGTTCTAATTGCTTTTTGAGATATTTTAAGACCTGTGGTATATTGTCTTGG